TGCCCCCTTGCCATCTAGCAAGCCCGGGGCATGGTGCAGCCGAGCGCCCACCAGTCTGCGGCGACGGGCAAGTTGCGCAGCACGTCGATGTTTCCGCGGGCAAGCTCCGGTGACTGCAGAGGCGGCGGTGGGGGGAGGGAGGGGCGGTGGAGGGGCGGGGGAGGGGCGGGAGAGAGAGAGAGAGAGGAGAGCCAAGGAGCTAGCTTGGGGGGGGCTGGAGAGGTAGAGAGGTGGAGAGTTGGGGGGCTGCTGAGAGATGGAGAGGTAGAGAGGAGCAGAGGTAAGAGGGAGGGAGGAGCTAGCTTGGGAGGAGGGGCGAGGGAGGGGAGGGCGGGCGGGCGGGCGGAGCGCTGCAAGCCTGGTATCGCTTCGGCAGCGCTTCTCTCGCGCGACCGTAGTAGGCCATGTCGGCACGGTCCGCCTGCAGGGAGGGGGAAGGGAGAGCAGTCAGAAGGAGGAGGGGGGGGGGAGCAGAGACTCTGCGCGGGGCCGCCTGCGGACAGGTGCTCCCCGTGGCCGTGTCACGGACGTGTCGGGCCGAGAGGGCGGGACAGGGCGAGAGGGCGGGACAGGGTGAGAGGGCGGGACAGGGCGAGAGGGCGGGACAGGGCGAGAGGGCGGGACAGGGCAGCGCGGCTGGCCTCGATGGCCATCTCGAATCCGCCGAGCTGTCGGCCGGGTGGGGAGAGGGAGTCAGAGGGGGGTGAGTCAGAGAGAGTGCAGAGGGAGTGCAGAGGGAGGGAGAGAGAGCGTGGGGGGAGGGAGGCGGTCGGGAGCGCGGGCAGTGCAGTGCTCGAGAGCAGAGAGAGTGGGAGGTGCGTCTCGCCTTCCAGTCCATCCCCTTGTCGACGAAGATGGAGGAGAGGGACACCTTTCCAGGGGGAGGGGGCTCGCGGTGGAGCCGTGTGCACGCGGGCCTGCCCTCTCCCGAGCGGGCGAGTCCAGCGCGGCGGTGAGAGGTGCAGCGATTTTGCGGTTTCTCGGCGCATCTGCAGGGCGCGCCATTCCGTGCACCATCTTGCAGTCGATGGAGAGGAAGTTGACGGCGGCGGCGAGGGTGTAGAGGCCCCACACGAGGGACGACGGCGTCCTCGACAGCTCCGCGAGTGCGTCTGCCAGCGGCGTCACCGGCTCTGTCAGCAGAAAGATGAGCCCGTTGTCGGCGAGCTCTCCCGCGTCGAGGCACTTGACGCAGTACGGGTGCTTGAGCGTGCGGTACCGGCGCATCGCGTTGCGCGCCAGCTCGGTCTGCGCGTCCGTCCCCTTCTTGATGTCGTACAGGAACACCGTGACGTCGCACTCCAGCTTCCGCGACTTGCCGGCGTACAGCCGCCACGGCGTCTTTCCGGCAAACGAGGCGTACTCCTCGCCGAGTTCGTACGGCAGATTGGCACCGGCGACCAGCTTGGAAGCCGCGCTCACCATGGAGGAGAACATGGCTGCGGATCCGGCGCGCACCGCCCTAGAACATAGAGAAGAAAAAAATGATTCATTTATCATTTTAGGCGGGACTCTGTCCTTCTCCCACCACCTCTCTCCTTAAAATCCCTGTGTGGTGGCGGCGTGCTGTCCTCCCATCCTTGGTTTTGTGTTTTCTTTCTTTCTTTTTCGATGCCAACCGACACGCGACAGCTACCGACCCCCCCCCCCCCCCGACTTGCGGTGCGGAGCGAGCTGCTACGAGCGAGCGGCGTGTGCCAGGCACGCGAGAATCATGCACGTGTGGTACACATCAACAGTACGGACAAAACCAATCTCTCTCTCACTCACACAGTCGGTAGTCTCCAGCGAAGAGATATCAACACGGTGCCTTGCTGCTGGATGGCGTTGCATACAACCGCACCCACTCCGCTGCTGTCTGTTTGAATTTGCGAGGGTCCCGCAGGAACGTCTTTGCCGTCTTCGGATTCAACGCCTCGCTGGGACTAGTCTGTCCGAGCATGGGGTTGGCGAGCAGCTCTGCCACCACCTGCGCGATCGATTTTTCGACCAGCACCGAAGGCGACCAGTTCGCAAGCAGCACACTGCCAGTCTGACCATCGATGTTGGGATGGTAGATTTTCGTGCGCATCTTCACCATCGGAGGTTGCTCTGGGAAGCGTTCAGGCAGGTGAACGACACATTGGAAGACACCACCTGTAAATGCGCTGCCGACCGGCCCTTGGATGCTCGTCGCAAGTATCCCACCATCTGAAGTTGCAGAAGCCGCTGCGCACTCGGCGTGTGGGCGTTTGCTGGGCCTTGTCGCAGAGTCGGGCAAGCGCTCCACTGTGAATGGGCGAACGATGTCTGCCACGGGCCTGAGCTGCTCCGAGCTCTGGTGATCGACGAGAACGACGATGCGGCACCCATGCTCTCGTAGCTTGCCCAACGAGTAGGCGTAGTCGCCATCACTGGAAATCAACACCACGCACGTCCCGGGAGCTCGTGCTGTCAGCGCAAATAAGAACATGTCTGCGATAATCCGCTTATCGACGACTTCCTTCTTCTTATGGTGCGGGCATTCAACTTGCGTCCAACAAGTTAGGTCATTTGCATGCCTGCTGAGTGCCACATTGCTGATGTGAGGGTCAGAATACAGGCGTCGCTCCTCACAAACGTTGGCGCCCAATGAATTCACTGCATCTGCCACGGCTTGGGACGCGTGGGCCGGATGACCGGGTTGATTTTCATAGTCCCAAAACACGGTGTATCGGATGCCCGCCATCAGCGAATTGTGCCGTGCTCTTGCACAGCACAAGCTCACAGCAAGGGTGCATAGATGGACCTCGCACAGCACACACCCTGTCCCTGAGAAGAAAGTATGCGCCGAACACGACAGCGGCAAATTCCGGCGCGGCTGGCCTCTTTCGCGCCGGGCCCGCCGCGCCTTCTTTTTCTCGCGCTAGCGCCTCATTTCGCCGCCACGCCCTCTCGCCCTCCACGCCGCCGCCCGCCCCCCCCCGCGGCCTCGACCTCCTTTTCGACAGTTTTGCGGCACGGCACTCACGAGATGGCCCACCCGGATGGTGTCTGTGTTGACGACCGTGTAAAGAAAGAAAGAAAGAAAACAGACAACCCAAGGGAGGGATGGGAGGACGGCACGCCGCCACCACACAGGGATTTTAAGGAGAGGTGTGTGGTGCGCTATCCGTCGCCCACCCTAGGGAGTCTGCCTCTTCCTATCTCTCTTCGCAGTCTCTCGCCGATTCTCGCTGCAACCTTCATGCCACCTCGCGGCTGTCCCACTCTCGTCGTTCTCTCCCTTGTCACTTCCTCCTCTGTCGCGTCGTTCTCTTCTGCCTCATCCTGCGACGCCGCCGCCTGCCTGTCCCTTGTTCTCGCGGCTTCTTTCGCCTCTCGGCGCAACTCCGTCCTCCTTGCGGCGTATCCTGGCCCCTCGAGTCTATCGAGCTCCCCTCGCGCAAGGACCACATTTCTGACTCCCACTCCGATCATTTGCCTCCAAGTCATGTTGTTGCTCAGGTCCACTCTCTCTTCGAACACTCGTGCCTCTACGGATGATGCCGGCGCTGGGGTCCCCTTCGGATGCATCGTGACATCTGACAACTGGATTTCCACTGGTTCGTCCTCCTCTGAGTCATCTTGACGACCGTGTCCTCGGCCAGCGTGGCGACCCCGATTTCTTTTCGACGGAAATCCATTATGCTGCAGCTCGCAGCCTCCACTATACTCGGGCTCACGGTGCCCCACGCGCCCCACGCGCCTCCGCGCTGCCTCGCCGCCTCGCGTGCCGCCTCGCCCGTCTGCGTCGATGACAAGTCAGAGGTCGAGGAGTACTTCAACAACGAGGGCTTCAACCGCTGGAACCGCATCTACTCGGAGGACGGCGAGGTCAACGCGGTGCAGGTGCATCGGAAGCCCGCGACCGCCGCCACCACGGCCCCCGCCGCCACCGCAGCGCGTCGCCTCTCGCCGCGCTCCCGCCCACCGCCCGCCCGCGCCTTCGGTCACCACGGCCGCCCGCCCTTGCCGCTGCGCTGCAGCTGGACATCAGGACTGGCCACGGGCAGACGGTGGACAAGATCCTGAAATGGGTCGACTCGGACGGGAGGGAGTCCCTGTCCGACGGCACCTGGTGCGACGCCGGCTGCGGCGTCGGCTCGCTCGCCATTCCGCTCGCCCAGCGCGGCGCGACCGTCGTCGCCTCGGACATCGCGGGCGCGATGGCGTCCGAGGCAGAGCGGCGTGCGGCGGACTTGGGCCTGAGCGAGCGCGCGTCCTTCTCGACGTCGGACCTCGAGTCGCTCAGCGGCGAGTACGACACCGTCTCGTGCATCGACGTCATGATCCACTACCCGCCCGAAAAGATGGCGCGCCCGCCGCCGCCCTGCCCGGCCAGCGGGCAGAGGAGCCTCAGGGCAGAGGAGCCCCAGTCCTGACGACCGCCGGGGTGGGAACGTAGGCGGGCATGGTGGGGCACCTCGGCGGCATCGCAAAGGAGCGGCTCATCCTCTCCTTCGCGCCGGACACGTGGTACTACCGCGCCCTCAAGCGCTTCGGTGGGCCACCGCCGCCGCCTGCCGCCGGCCAAGGCTGCAGCGGCCTCTCCGCCGACGCCCGCCGCCGCCGCGCGCGCAGGCGAGCTCTTCCCGGGCCCGTCCAAGACGACGCGCGCCTACTTGCACACCGAGGAGGCCGTCCTCAAGGCGAGCGAGACGATCCGAGATTCCCCGAGACCGGACGCCGCCCTCAAGTCGGAGAGCAGCCTGGGGCAGTTATGCCACACGCCTTATACACGCCCGCCTGCTGCCACTCGTGGACCTGAGCAGCCTTAGCTGCTCGGCTCCACCTCGGCCCGGCTGCAGTTCGTAGTCCGATGGCCAGCAGATCATACTGCGACGGCCAAGAAGGAGCCTCTCGCATCGTGAGGCGTCGAGCCCCCGCTGCGCAGGCGCTCTCCGAAGCCGGCTTCGCCCCGTCGCGCACCGAGATGACGGGCACGAACTTCTACTTCTCGCGCCTCATCGAGGCGGTGCGCCAGTGAGGAGCAAAGGAGAGAGCGCCACACCACGACCCCCGCGCCACGGGGCTGGCCGAAGAGTGTGAGAGGTCCCGGCGTCTACATGCTAGATGTAGCTTTGGTGTGCCCGGGCGGGCGGCCTGCCTCCTCGTGCCTTCGCGCTGTCCTTTGTCCATCTCTGGAGATCTCCCCTGGGGGCCATGATAAAACGAAAACTTTCGCGACGCCACGCGCACTCTCATCTCACGGCTAGTGCTAGCTGCTAGTCGGTAGTCCGGGAATGAGCAATGTGACGAATGTCTGTGTCAGTCCCCCATCGGGAGGACGACCCCGGCTAGTCGCCGACCACACCCACAAAGAACCCTGCACAAAGACCGCAGGGCGGGGACCTGTTCCTTTTTACCCATCTCCTTGTCCGTTTTATTTATTTATTTACTCTCATCTCTCTAGCTCTTATCCTGTAAGCTGTATCCACTCTCACACGCCCCTGCCCCCTCCCACCCCCCCCCCGCGCGGGACCGGGAGCCGGGCTCTGGTGTCTCTGGTGTCTCTGGAGCTCTGGTGTCTGGAGCGGCGCGGGACCAGACCTGAGACGTGAGACCTGCGGGCATCTCGGGGCGCATGATTCATCATTCAACCATTGAAGCATGTCCATGTGCATGATCGTATTTATGCGAGATTCCGCATCCGGGCATAAAGATAAATGATAATATTATCATATGTGCATGTCCTATGTCCATGACTTCATGTGCGGAGGGGGTCCTGCGCGGAGAGACTTGACGGACGGCGGGAGTAGTGCGTGCCGGCGGAGGGAGCGCACGACACACCACACACACACACGTACACACACAGCGCGAGATATTTCCGGAGAGCACCCAACAAATTGACGCAAAAAATCACACTCAGGGGCCATACGCCCGGAAGGTGCGCAGCTGGGACGATCCGCTTGCCAGCGGCGGCAGCGCACGCGCCTCCACTCGCGCAGCGTCAGCTCCCGCTAAAGTAGCCAGAGGACGACGACGCGCGCCGCTCTCTCTCTACATGCCAGCAGACTGCCCAGAGCGTTCAGCGGAGCTCCTGTTCCAGCCGCAGCAGCTCCGGCATGTCGTCGGCCTGCACGAGGCCGCCTGCGCCCTTGGCCGCCATCCCCGCCACCACGCTGCCGATCGTGTGGCTGAGTGGCCGCTCCCGAGGCTCGCTCTCCCGCTCCGCCTGCGCAGCAGGGCTCAGAGACGGCTCAGAGAGGTGTGTCGTGGACCTCTGGGGCTCGCCGCTGTGCACCTCTGGCCGGTCGAGCTTCAGCCCGCTGCCGAGCCGCAGCTCGCCTACGCGGAAGGTTCAGGGCAGCTTCCAGGGAAAGCGTCCGGCAGGCCTCCGCCCGGCACATCCAGGCCACCGACGCGCGACGCCCATCCCGCGTCCTTTGCCTCGCGACGCAGAGCGCCTAGGGCGCAGGGCGGTGGGAGAGGGGTGGGGAGAGGGGTGGTGGGAGAGGGGCGCGCGCAGGGCGGTGGGAGAGGGGTGGGGAGGGTGGGAGAGGGGTGCGCGCAGCCGCAGGGCGGTGGGAGAGGGGTGGGGAGTGCGGTGGGAGTCAAGTGGGCGAGAGCGCTCGCCGGGCCGCCTGCGAGGCCCATCACGCCGTATGAGTTGACCTGGGTCATGTACGATCGAGGCCCCCAGGCGGCGGAGGTGCTGCTCGTGACAAAGGTGTAGGACCCTTTGCCCGCATCAGTGAGCCGCGGCAGAAGCAGGCTCGCCGCGGCAAAGTGGAAGGAGCCGAGCTGCGACGCGGCGGAGGCGTATTCGTCGGCCGGAATGTGGAGGACGCTGCCGCGGTTGTAGGTGGTCGACGTCTCGTCGCCGCCGCCGCTCGCCCACGGCCGCCCGCCCGCATGTGCCACGACGTGGTCGAGTTGGTTCGAGGTCATATCCATGACTTGCTCCACGGTAATCTCGGCGCGGCCCGGCAGCATGGAGGCGCCAACGGTGACGAGGCGAGCCGGGTGGCCCATCGCCTCGCTGATCTTCTCCAGCCGCTGCTCGTGGCGAGAGTTCACGATCACGGTGGCGCCGGCAGCGAGCAGCCCGTGTGCAATCCCTGAGCCGACAATGCCAACCCCACCAACCACCCAGGCGACCTGACCCTCCAGCGGTAGCGACGACTCGGTGGCGGCGGGCAATGTGGAGAAGAGGCGGCGGCCGAAGCGGGGGAAGAGCATATGTGTGTGTTCGGGGGCGAAGATGTGGTGCCCGTGCGGTATCCGTCGGGAAAGAATTTTTTGTCCACGAAACTCCTGCCACGGGACTGGCGCGCACTGGAAAGAAATTCGGTATATTTTAAAGCGTGAACTCACCCATATCCTTCCTCTACGTCGACAACCGCCGTGGGTCAGCACCACTCTCGTCGCCCGCCGCCGCCCCCGCGCCGACGACCGCGCCGCCCTGGCGATGCACGTTGCCCCGGACGGCGAGGTCCCCTCCGGCGTTGTCTGCAAACGCGTTGCCCGACAGCGAGAGCGAGGCGCAGTCCGTCGGCCTCAGCGCCTCCACCTCCACCGCTGCCGCCTGTCCAAGTTGTGCGCTAGTGAAGAGACGCCGTTCTCAGCACCGCCTCCGCCTCGACCGCCCCCACCTCCGCCGAGCGTGTCCCGCTGATGGAGCAGTCCGACACCTCGAGGCTGGCCGAGTGATACGCGTAGATGGCGCGCACCGCAGAACCGTCGATCGTGCAGCGCCGCACCTAGCAGCAGAAGCCTCGTCGGCCTGCCGCCGAGGCCACCGAGATATGCCGACATCGGCCGCTCACCGCCAGCCGCGTCTCGCCGCGTGCGCAGATGGCGTGCGGCGCCGCGCCGCTCAGGCGCGAGCCGAGCAGGTCCAAGCTTGCCTACGAAGCGAGGGCAGCCGCACTCCGCCCCATGCCTCCTCCCGCGCACCGCCCCCGCTCGCGTGGCTCGCCTGCTCAAACGCCACGATGGACGAGCGGCGGCCGCCGTGAAAGTGGCTGTCTCGCGCCGCCGCCCGCGCCCGCTGGACTAGCCAGAGGCCGAAGCCCGTCTCAGAGGACAGCTCGCACCGCTCGAGCGCCAGCTGCCCCTTGCCTCGCACAAAGATGGCGGCGCCGCGCGCGCGCCTGGGTGGTTTAAACCCGGCTGATGCCACATGAAGGGGGCGCTTTCTCGCGGCCACACTCTCGCGCCGTTCAGAGCGCTCCGCCGAGGAGGCGTGGAGGAGCCGCACGCCGCGCAGGTCGAGGAGGCCCTGCCGTGAGCCCTCGACTTGGAAGAGGGAGTGGCCGTCGCCGTGGAAGTCGCCGCCGACGATTGTCAGCCGCTGGCTCGAGCGCAGCCGGAAGGGAGCGTGAAGCTGCACGCTCCGGTTTGTGAGCCGGAGCGGCCGGCCGGTGGAGATGGCGGCGGCAGCGAGACGCGCGAAGCGCGTCTCGGAGACCGGAGGCCGGCAGGCCGCCGTGAGGCTGGCGAGGTGAAGCCACATCCACATTGCGCCCCCGGGCCCCGGCGAGCCGGCGAGGCAAAGCGGGTGTATGGTCCGACACATCTTAAAGTGGAAGGGTGGCGTAGGGGAGAAGTACTCTTGAGGGAAACATTGGACCGTCAGGCCCCGGGGACTGGCCAGCCCGACTAACACAACCTTCAGGAACACCATTTTGCGGTCCTGAGCGGCCGTCTCGGAGCAGAAGCTTCCCTGCCTCCTTAGCCATGTTGCGGTGCCCTCGCGCCATCTGGTCGACGCACTGCTCGCAAGTAAAGCGTCTTCACAGGTCGGCAGATACGCCTCACCTTCAAAAAGGTGGCTGCCTACCCCAAAGCCCAGCCCGGGGCATCGATTTCTCTTGACGATCTCACTTTAAAACGCTGGTGCAGATGGGGTTTTCTCTATAGAAGTCGGAGCCTTGCGTCGAAGGAGAGGCAGCGTGCGGCTCCGTGGACTCGGCCATCACCCGCGGGTGAGAGGGCGATAGGAAGCACTCCCGCCCTCTGAGGCGGCCGTCCGAGTCGGGGAGGCAAACACACAGCCATCCTCGCGGGTGTGGGCGGCCTTATCGGCCCGCTATACTAACCCTTAAGTCGGCCCTTCCTCGGGTCGGCTTCGGAGGCCCCGCAGCCCTAGCCGGAGCTAAGGGGCCCGGCTTTTTCGGCGCTAACCCTAGGGGAAATCGCTCCGGAATAGGGTTCCCGGCACCATCGGGCGGCGCCACACGGATGGAGGGAGTCGGGTTTGCCATCGGCGGGCCGTGAGGGCGCTGAGAACTCAAGGCTGAGTTTTCGCTCCACTTTCGATGTGTCGGAGTATAATACAATTGTAAACGGTGCCTGTGAGCGCGAAAGAGAATTTTACTCCGCAACGTGCACGCTACTATGAACACAGAAGCCCATAAAAGTCGCCGCTGCAGTCCACGACAAGTCGCCGCTGCCCAATGTGGCCGGGGTTGTCGGCGCTGCTGCCTGGTGCCGGGTCGCCTCCCGTCCACACTGCCCCTCGTCACGCAGCAGCGGCAAAGCATCCGCCTCCGCATCCGCATCCGCATCCGCATCCGCCGTTCCCTCCCCGCTTCGCCCCCGTTCCACCGCCACCCGCTCCACCACTTCCACCCAGGCCTCCCACTTCGCCGCCTTTTCCTCCCCGTTCACCGCCCTCGCCTCCGCTGCCCTCGGCGCCGCCGTCGCCGCCTCCCTCTCCTATTTCGCCACCGGCAGCGCCGCCACCGCCACCATCGCTACCGCCGTACCCATCTCCGCCGCCGCCGCCGCCGCCGCCGAGACCCAGCCCGCCTCCACCGCCACCGCCTTCGCCTCCACCGCACCCGCACCCGGCAGCACCGCCGCTGCCGCCGTCGCCTCCGCCGCCGCCGCTCCTGCCGAATCACGACTTGGTGCACGGTGGTGTTTGTCCTCGACCTCGGCCGTGCCGGCCGGACACTGCAAGGCTGGAGCATGAGTGCGGCGGAGGAGGCGGTCCTCGTGCTCGTGCGACGCCCTCGGCAACCTGCTTCCGTCCGCCCACGCGCCCACTCGCAACAACGTGAAGGTCGCCTGCCGGAAGCCGGGCTGCTTCGCTGCAGAGGTGACGATCCTCGAGCTGCCGGGGAGCGGAGGGCCGACCGCCCACGAGATCAGGCTCACGACGCTGGGCTTGCGCCAGGAGAGCGGCCTCTTGTGTGCCTGGAACGCGCGCACGTGGTGCAAGGGCTATAGGGCTATGTCTTCATCAACTACGATCTACGTGGCGACGGCATGCGCGGACACGTCGACGCACAAGGTGTGGATCGACGCCGGCCTGCAGTCACGCTATGCGGCGGCCTCCGACGTCTGCTCGACCTCGGTCGGGTACGAGTCGCTCCCGGAGCTCGATCCCGGAGCTTGTCCCGGCGGACTACACCTGGCCGCATCCGCCACCCTCGCCTCCACCCACGTCGCCGCCACCCTCGCCACCATCACCGCCGCCGCCACAATCGCCTCCCACCCCGCCGGTGTCGCCTCCACAGGCGCCCCCGCCGCCTCCACAGCCACCCCCGCCTCCACACCCGCCCCCGGGGACGCCGCCAGCTCTGCCGCCGCCGCCAGCATTGCCGCCGTCACCGACGCCGTCGCCGCCACCCTCTCCCCCACCACCATCACCACCGCCGCCCTCGCCGCCGCCGCCCTCGCCGCCGCCGCCCTCGCCGCCGCCCTCGCCGCCGCCGCTCTCGCCGCCGCCGCCCCCCTCGCCGCCGCCAGCGTCCCCCCCTCCTTGGTTCCCAGGCCACCATCAACCACCGTCGCTACCGCCCTCGCCGCCGCTTCCTCCATCACCGCCGCCACCCTCGCCCTCGCCGCCGCCCTCGGAGCCGCCCTCCCTGCCGCCGCCCCCGCCGCCGCCCTCGGAGCCGCCCTCCCTGCCGCCGCCCCCGCCGCCGCCCTCGGAGCCGCCCTCCCTGCCGCCGCTCTCGCCGCCGCCCTCACCGACGCCACCTTCACCGTCGTGGCCTCCTCCGCCTTCACCACTTCCTCCACCGCTGCCGCTACTGCCGCCCGCGCCGCCCTCACTGCCGGCGCCCTCGCCGCCGCCAACACCCCCGCCACCAGCGCCGCCTTTACCATCTCCGCCGCCCGCGCAGCCCCCACAGCCTCCACCAGTGCCGCCGCCGCCCGCGCCGCCGCCGCCGCCGCCACCGCCACCCCCGCCGTCGTCGCCGCCGTCCGCCCCGCCGCAAGAGCCCGGCAGCTACTCGTACGCAGTCGCCGAGCTCACGGAGGCCTGGCTCGTCTCCGCTGATGCCAGTTGGAATGCCCTGGGCGGCATCGTCGCCGCGCGACCGCTCGACGCAGCTGAGCTGCGTCGAGCGGGTTGGGGTGGCTGCGGCCGGGGGGCTCTTGTTGAGTTGCTGTCTGCTCTCCTGCGTGCGGACCCGCGTGCGGCGTGGGAGGGCGAGAAGGAAGGCAGCAGGAGGGCAGCAGCTGTTCGTGAACATGTCGTTGCCGGAAGACTCGTCGCGGTTGTCATCTTCGAGGGAGAGCTCCGCGGAAGCGCCGAGGCGGCATGTGCGTGAGCATGACCTCGAGGGGAGCCCGGGCCCTCGACATGCTCGGCGGCAGGCATGGCAGGGAACGACCAAGGGTCGCGCCCCTCGCGTCAGCCACAGCGAGCCTGTCGCCGACGCGCCCGAGGCGGCGGCGGCGGCGACCCGCGCGCGCCACGAGAAGCAGCAGCGCCCTCCGCTCGTCGGGTTCATGGTCGGGTTGCGGCGTACAGCGAGCTGGACGAGGAGGGAGGGCCCGAAGACGAGGGCCTCCGCAGACCCGCCCGCGACCGCTTCACGAGTGGGGACTTGTCGATGGACACGTCCCCGTTTGCGGAGGTCCGGGCGCTGACCGACAACCTTGGGATCAACTTGCACGAGGCTCTCTTCGCTGCGCCGCCCGCCTCCCAAGCCGTGGAGCCCCAGCACTCCGGAAGCATCGCTCGGCTCGAGCTTGCATTTCTCCCTTCCGCCCTGCACCTCTCCGCCCTACCCCTCTGCGGAGCCTGACCTTAGGCTCGCGTCAGACGCGTTGAGCAGCACGTGGGCGGGCGATATGCATAGCGAGGATGCGAGCCACGGGATGTGGGACCGACCACCGTCCCTCGCGTCGATCGCGGGCCGATGCTCGAGGACCTCGCGCGCGATGTGGGAGGCCTGCATGGCGGCCTCGCGCTGCCCTCCGCGGCTCCGCACTCCCACTGGCCTCCCCCCCCTCTCTACCCTCCGGAGCCTGGCGTCGAGTTTGCGGCCGAGCTGAACGGCGCGTGGGCAGAGGCGGAGAGCAACGTGCCGGCTGCCGGGGGTGGAGGGGGCGGAGTCTGCGCTGGCGGTCGGGGACTACGTCAAGGTCGTGGAGGCCCTCGCACGGCAGTGCCCGGACACGCGCGGCGTTAAATTCCGCATCGACCGCTTCAAGGACTCCACGCGCGCGTACTGCTCCTCTCGCTACCCGTACCCCCATCCGCGCTGTGAAGTGTGAAGAGAGGCGCGTGTGTACACGAGCAGCACCTCGCGGACGGAGGCGGACGAGGCCGCCGCTATGCCCCCATAGAGCCGTACACACATGCCGATTATTCACTTTGACCCATCATTCAATACAATCATTTTCATATCATGCGCCACCGCGCTCCACAGGCCACAGCCGCCCCACGCGTCTCTCTAGTGTTCGATCTCCGCGCTCACAACAGAACACCCATGACAACACCGTGGCCCTGTCATCTTTTACTTTTTGACTGACGTAGTCGCAATGTCGCAGTGTCCGTCACAGATTCGCCACGACGTCCTCCGGACGGAGGGTCGTGAAACGGACCGCCGGGCTGTGGAGCAGGAGCGTGGGGTTGGAACCGCTCACGTTGACCGGCAAGCTCTGGTTCAGGCCGTGGTAGTACCGCTCCCAGAAGCCGAGCGGCTCGAACAGCAGCTTGAACGTGAGGCCCGGCGGCAGGAAGACGCTCTTCTCGCCGGCGGCGACGCCGAAGGCCCACTCCACCAGCGAGCTGCAGTAAAACTTGGCGGGCGGCGGCTCGAAGTCGCTCGCGTACGGCGTGCCCGCCTGCGCGCTCGCGGCCTGCGTGGCGGCGGCGCCGAGCGCACGCATCCTCGCGCCGACGAGGCGGCCGGCGTACAGAGTCGCGTGGCTGGCGCGCCGCCAAAAGTCGGCCGCCGGCGTGACGACGACGGCGGGCGGAGTCGCCTCGACGAAGTGTAGCGCGCCTAGCCGCAGCTCTCGGGCCGTGATCCCCGACGGGGTGGGGCGCGCCATCAAAACGAGTGCGGGAGAGGGGCACCGCTCGCGTCGCGCTGCGCGAGGGCGACGTGCCATGCCTGCGGGGATGTTCCGAGAAGGTTCCGAGAAGGTTCCGAAGTTGCGCGGGCGCTAGTGTGCGGCGCGTGCCGTCTCGTTGGACGCGTTGACGCCGTGGGAGCGCCACCACAGCACAGTCGCCGCCCCCGTCGCGAGGATGGCCTGGTGGGCCGCGTCACGGTCTCGGGCGGGGCGAGGGGCGCGCGGCGGACGCGGTTAGGCTGCGCTAAACGCGTGGCAAGAGTGGGGGGAGAGGGGGGAGGCCTGGAGCACATGGAAGGTGGTCATGGGGGCCGGCTTTGTCGAGCTCCGACGCGTCGGCGGCGGGGCGCACAAACACGAGATCGCCAGTCTCGAGCCGCGGCGGGGCCAGCCCGCCGCCGCCTTCGGCCAGGGCCGCCCCCAATCCCGCGCAGCCGAGCCTCTCGTGCGCGCAGCACCACGCCCGCTTGGCGCCGCCCCACGCCTCGCGGGTAAGGCAGTCGAAGGGCGGACGGGGCGCAGCGAGGGCCGGCTCGCCCCGCGGCGCGTCGCGTGCTGCGGCGGCCCGCCGGCCCACCTCCCGCCCCGCCTCCCGCCCCGCCTCCCGCCCCGAAGCCATGTCCAAGACGCGAGGGGCCTCGCCGCGGAGGGGCGGCCGCAGCTCTGTCCCGTCCGGCATCACGCACCGCGTGGTTGCCACGTGCGCCGGGTCGACGCACTCGTACCCGCGGTACCCCTCCACGTCGCCGCCGAACCCCTCGGCCGCCGGCGGCATCGCGCGCACCCGCCAGGCGGGCGCACCTGCGGGAAGGGTCCGAGCAGGTTCCGAGAAGGCTCCGAGAAGGCTCCGAGAAGGCTCCGAGAAGGCTCCGAGAAGGCTCCGAGAAGGCTCCGAGAAGGCTCCGAGACGGTCTTTTGCGGAGGAAGGCCAGGCGGGGGCGGCGGCGGGGCCAGGGCACCGCTCGGCTCCTCCCGCAGCAGCAGCTCGACCCGCTCGACTCGGTCGTACTCGCCGTCGGGCCAGCAGCGGAGACAGTGCTCCGCGCCTGGGGTGGGGAGACGCGGGGCTGAGCTCGGTGCCCAGCATCCCTGCGACTCGCGGGAATACGAAGGGGAATGCGGGAAATGTCTTCCGCATCTCGACCTCCGCACCGCAGCCCAGCGCCCGCAGCAGCGCGGGGATGCGGCAGTGCTCCCAGCTGAGTAGGACGGCGCCGCAGCGGTCGCGCGCCGCGAGGAGGGCCGCCGCCGCGAGCTGCTCGCCCTCGCTCTGGGCAAACGAGTCGTTGACAGGGAGGCCGAGCAGCGCGGCGAGCGGCTGCACGGTCTGCACCTGTCGCGGGCGGCGGCGCTGCAGAGGGAGGAGGGGCGGACATGGAGGAAGTGGCCTGCCCTGCACACCTCTCGCAGGGCAAAAGGCGGCCGGCCCGGGTCTGACGCAAAGAGAGCGACGAAGCGCGGCCAGTGGCCCGACTCGACGAGGCGGGCGAGGTGCGAGGCGCGGCTCCAGCCGGTCGCGTTGAGCCCGTGCACCTCTGGAGAGCCCGGCGCAGGGTGGGGCGACTTCTCGCCGTGCCGGATGACCCAGATCTGGCGGGCGCAGGGCGGTGGCGAAGGCGGAGGCTGCTGCATCTGCATCTGCGAGCTGCTCTGTGGCTGCTGCAGCTGCGAACTGCTCTGTGGATCGCGCGCTGCGATGAACGCGACCGCCACGATGGCCCAGGTGCGCGATACGAGGATGGCTGCGATGGAGGATGCTGCGAGGACGGCGATTCCGGCGAGCCGCTTGCTCCCGAAGCGGAGTGAAGACGGCGGCGCGAGGAGGCCGCGCTGCAGGTCAGAGTGTTCGCCGGTCATGAGAGGCTGATCCCGTGGTCCGTGCGGTCTGAGAAGGGGAGCGAGAAGAAAGGATGAGCCTCCCTCCTCGGCTCGTCTGGTTCCAGCAGGCAGCCGTGGCAGACGCAGGCGGTGGCGGCGGCGAGCGCCGCACCCGCCACGGCGACAGCAGCGACGCTGGCGGAGAGGAAGAGGAGAGAGACCGCGACGGGCTCGAGCATGCACGAAGGCGAGCCAAAAAGAGAGAAGACCGCGGCCCTCCAGCGGAAGAGGGCCGCACCCGTTTCGGCGTGGGGACCGAAAAAAAAAAATTCGAGCTCCTCCGTACGAGGCTCAGACGGCGAGTTCGCGCTCCGCTACGAGGCTCAGACGGCGAGTTCGCGCTGCGCTAGGCTCAGTACGGCGAGTTCGCGCTCTGCGGCCTGCACCGCTAGCACACGCTCGCCGCCTCCAGATGCTTGGCAGCTCCATCCAGCACAATAGCACCGCTCGCGGCCTCGCGTCGCGCGAGTCGGAGTTCGAAGCGCTCCTGACCGACCCAGGCGCTGCGACCAGCATATCTCGGGTGTCGGCCTCGGAGTTTGCAGCAGACGATGCCACAGCATTGGCCGCGTGTGCAGAGCCGTTCTTGGTCGCTGGCACGCTCACTGGCTGGCGTGGCAGCGAGCGGTGGCACAGCGTCGAGACGCTCCTCGACGCGTATGGCCACCTCACCTTCTCGCTCGCGCACGACGTGACGGTCACGCTGCGAGAGTACGCCGAGTACGCGAGGAGCACCGGAGCGGACTGCCCGTACTACCTGGTCGAGCGGGACGCCGCCAGGGCGCGGATGGCGCGGCTGGTGCGAGCCCACCTCGCTGGCTTCGAGAACGGCGCAGCGGGAGGCGCCAGTCCGCACGATGCGGCCGGCTCGTTCGAGCCCGAGGCCGCCGTTGCGGCCGCGCGGCGGCTGGTGGGATTCGAGCGAGCGCTCCTCGAGAGGAGGCCCTGGTTCCGTTGCGCGCTGGGCTGCTAGGAATGCACAGTGATAAGTGATTTAGTTTGTGCGAAAAGAGCGGTGTGGTATCTCGCGTGTATCTCGTTTTCTATACCCTGCCATGGCACACCATACACACCGACATGCGGACTAAAACCGGCATGTGCATGACCTAACAGTGCGCGTCGAGCTCACCACCACCACCACCACGAATCGACTACCGTCCGCGAAAAGGCTGGCATGGCGTGCGCGCGGGCCAGGTATCCTCGCAGCGCCGCCGCGTCCGTGGGGAGGTCGACGCGCTGCAGGAAGGGCAGCAAGCAGGCGTCGGCGACCGAGAAGGCACTGCCTGCGAGATAACCTGCCTCGCCCCTCGCCGCGAGGACGGCGTCAGCTTTGCGCAGCAGCTGATCTAGCGCAGCGGACTGCGGCGCCTTTGGCAGCGTATCGCACAGGCGGATGAGCTCTCGCGCTAGCTGGGGATCCTCGGGCTCCAGCGAGACGGCGCCCGGCGCAGTGGCGCTCAGCGCGGCGACCCGCTCAACGCAGGTGGAGCTCTCGCGGATCACCTCGTCGCCGATGGCCATGACTGGGATGTAGCCCTTTGGTCTCAGCCCGCCGTCCGACTCCACCCTGCGAAGCTGCGACTTGTCAAAGCCGCCGCGGCCATAGAGGTTCACCTAGATGAGATGTGTGACGCCGTGAGTACCGTACCCACGTCTCGCGCTTCGTGAGGCGCACGTACACACCTCGACTTTTGAGAAGGGCAGCCCGGTCGCCTCGAGCGCGATCGCGACGCGCTGGGCGAACGGGCAGGCCGTGTGCGTGTAGAGGGTGATTGGAGGCACGGTGAGCGACGACATGGACGTGGAGATGGCTAGCATTTCCGAGCAACAACTCTGAGCTAGAAGGCTAGCATTTCCGAGCTTGTGTTTTTCCTACCCGGGTACTGTTATATGATAGTAACTAGTGGGGGACCTGCGGCGGACCCGCCTCTGTTGTTCGCGGGCAGTGAGAGACGCAGGATCTGCACGCCAAAGCGCCGCCACACGCTCCGGACGACCGACACACCGACACCACGCACAATGGTAGGCCATCGCGCACGATCGGCCATCGCACCCACCGCAAACACCTCGCCGCACAGATGGGGGGAGGCATAATCCCACACACACCGGAGCAGCGCAGACACCTTACACGTCAGCGCTCGCTCGATGTGGCCGGCGCTCTCCCCTCTCCTATCGCCTTTTCAACGGCGGCGTGCGGCCACGCGCCGCGCCGAGCCGGTCTCGGCGGGAGACCTCGGAGCCGCACGCGATGCGGGCATGCGCGATGGCTCCGTTGGCTCCGTGCCTAAGGGAGATAGATTAGGGTGTGAGCTGCGGCAGCCACCGTTTCTGTACCTCGATCACGTGCAGGCCGTCGGAGGCCGCGCTGGATGGCCCAGGGCCGGCGGCGGTGAAGGCGTCCGTCGATGAAGGGATGTCGTCGAGGGAGCCATCGTCCTCCGCGGCTGGTGCACCGGTCCAGTTGTCGGAGTTCGAGATCGCCGTCGACTTGGAGAGTTCGGCCCGTCGACGAACTCACGGAATGTGAGCGACTTGGTGCACGCTGATAGTCGAGCATCATGGCTCGCACCTCATCCTGAGCGCAAGGAACTCGCCCAGGGGCCAGCTGTTGGCGTCGCCGTTTTGATCGAGCTGCATCCACTGCATGGTTTCGTAGTCAAGCGTAAACGCCCAGGAGTTGGTGCCTGGAGGTGACTTGCTGATGAGAGCGCCTTCCAGGCGGGTAGTCGTGCCCCTCACCTAAGGTCATACGGCGGCGTCAGAGGGGGGGGAGGGGCGCGAAGCGTGAACATGGAGGCAAGCAGGTGGTGGCTGCACCTGGCCAAAGCCGGCGACCAAAGTTGTCGTAGGTTGTGCGGGTATCGCTGAGCGTGAGAGGGACTGGATCGGCAGCAGCGCGGGCGGCAGCGGCCGGAGAGGCCGGAGAGCCGTCCGACGGAGGCCGGTCGTGCATCGGCGCGTCGGCCGTAGGGGCCGGGGGGGCGGCGGCATCCATCGCTGCGGGTCGCTGCGGGCCGACGATTGTGGACTGATCGATCGTGGCGGGCGGTGTTCAGCTGGGACGTTCTACGTTAAAAGAGCGTCGGCGCGGACACGAGAGACTTATAAGGGTAGATAGAGCAGTTTGGTCGGAGGGCGCCCGGGTCGCCCCGGAGCGGCCCCGCGCGGGGAGGTGGGTGGAGGGCGGGCACCACGCCATCGGGCAGGCCGCGCGGGGACGCAGCCGGGGCCAGCGCGCGGCGCTAGAAGGCCGTGCGCAAACTTGTTGGACCTGGACCTGGACCTGGACCTGGGTCGGCGAGTTTTGGTGGTTCGAAAAGCGGAGCGCGCAGTCCGTTGTGGCTCGAAACGCGATGCCTCCGCCGGGAGACACGGACGGCGCCGGCGGGAGCGAAGAGGCCGGCGATGCGCCGCACGCGGTCGTCGCCCTGCCGGCGACTAGCGAGGCGGTCGAGCGTGACCAGTCGCACTCGAATCTGAGCAGTACATTGAGGCCGTTGGTGGAGAGAGAGCGCGTGCGAGCGAGGTAACGAGGATGGAGCTGTGGGTGTAGTCGGTGAAGGCTTGGTTTGCGTTTCCACGACGAGGCGTCGGAGAATGAGGAGACGTCGGAGAGTCGTGACGGTGATTCTCGGGCCGAGGCCGATGTCTCATAGGGAGGAGGTGACTTGTCAGCGCCTTCGCAACGCGGTTCAATTGTGGACGAAGATGTACACGGAGATGGGATGGTGCGACGACATGCGGGAAAAGGTAGGATCGCACATGCTTCTGCAAGCTGCATGTTCGTACCGCGAGGTCGAACCGAGGTTTATACGGGTGTGGCTCCAGGGTCCGGTGCTCCAGGATGCAGGGGCTGACAGCAACTGTACGAAAGTGTGAACAGGTTGGAGCAGCAAGCGCGCAAAGGCGAAGTTTGAGAGAGAGATTTTTAGAAAGAAGTTTGTGCGCTGACACATATACTAATCTCGAGCAACGGCGATCGGAGGGCGACAAGCCGTCAGGCCGCCACCCACACGGCGACAGACCCAGAGGTGCCCTGCGCCACGCACAAGCCGTCGTCGGCCGGCGAAGCACCATCGGTACTCGTTGGGCATGCCGCGCAGACGCCGCTCAATGACGCTGCGCACGCCGCGACCCTCGCGCATGTCGAGGCTGAAGCGGATGAAGCCGAGCAGCCTCACTCGGAGCGTCTCGAAGGTGAGCTGCATGCGGCGGCCGCGCAAGTCGTACGTGCCGCAGAAGGCGAACCGCAGCAGCCCCCCCAGCAGCCGCACGTTGCTCACCACCTGCCTAGCTCCGAGTAGAGGGGGTGCGGTCTGCTGCTAGGGGGGGCCAAGGAAGCGCGTGGAAAAATTCCGCGGCTGAGGGAAACCCGGAGCGTTCTGTACGCCCTCGGAGACCCGTGTTATGGCCCTGCGAACGCGCACCCCCCTAGGGCTAGGAAGAGGGGGCGCTCTGCAGTTAAGGGGAAACCCGGTACACGGAGCCCTCTCGGAGACCCGTGTTATGGCCCTGCGACCGCGCACCCCCCAGGGCTAGGGGCTCTCTTGCCCGTAACCCGATCCCGATCATCCGGCCCGCTGGGTGCGCTTCTCAGCTCCCCGGCCCTGGGTGTGAGGCTAATAACTGCACTCCAAGTGCTCTCCAAGACCCGTGTTATGGCCCTGCGACCGCGCACCCCCCAGGGCTAGGGCTCTCTTGCCCGCAACCCGATGCCAATCATCCGGCCCGCTGGGTGTGCTTCTCAGCCCCCCGGCCCTGGATGTGCGGTTACTGACTGCACTCCAAGTGCTCCAAGTTAGAGTTGTTCGGTATTGAGGTATTGCTAAAAATCTCTCTCTCTCTCTCTGTCGGGCGCACTCTCGACTAGAAAAGAAATTCGCCCAGGCTCTCGAGATACACAAAGCGCCAAAGTCCTCGCACGACACTAGGCACGGCTCGGGAACTGGCGTTGATTATAACATATAAGTCGGGCCGAGCGTTTTTGATCTCTGGATCTGTGGGCGCCCGCCCGCCGCCTCTGAGGGGGTCGGGCCCCCTAGACTGAAAACAAAAACAAGCGCGAAAACAGCCAAAATCAGCCTGCGAGAGAGGCACTGCGCGCCGCTGACCTCAATGTGGGGATGTGTGCCGACACCAATACTGATCTAAAACCTGGAAACCCTTGTTCAAAAACGACCCTAAGCGCCATCCTTCCTGCTCTCACCTGATGCTGCTTCCCCGCGCCGCCTCCTTGGGCCCCCTTGGGCGTATTTTCTACTCCCAGTGGGGTCCCGGGCCCCCGGGCCCCCTCTTGTTTTCTGAAAAACGCCCGCCCGCCCGCCACCCCGAAGCGGCTCGGCCCCCCACAGATCCAGAGATCAAAAACGCTCGGCCTCGTTCTGGCTTCTGCGGCCATTTCCCAAGCTCTCTGTCACTCCCCTTTCTCCCGGCCGGGGCCGGGGCTCGCGGGTGGCGGGTGTGCGGGATGTCTGTGGGCGAGCTAAGGCTAGCTCAAAGAATTTTCACTTTACAACATGCACATGAGGACACAACAAAGCTACTGCGAACGGTTTACACACCCGCCACCCTCCCGTGTTCTCAAGCAGAGTTCAGACTGAGACATCGCACCGCACAATCAGAGTGCACGTTGTGGTGCACGTCTCTGGCTCCGCATGCGCGCGGCCGCGGCGTTATCGCGCCACCTCGCCCACCGCGCACAGATCAGCACCTCGGAGCAGCGCTCACCATCGGCCCCGCATGTACCCGCCGCCGTAGCCGCCAAAGCCACCTATGGTCGTGACACGGGTGAGAGACGCGCCGTCTCGCGGGGCGCGGACAGGAGACGTGGCTCGCCGCATCCGCCGCCATGCCACTCGTCGTAGGGGCCAAAATCGTCCCAGGGCCCATCCATGTAGCCGCCCCCGAACCCGCCAAAGTCGTCCCACGGGCCATAGTCCCCATAATCCATGTAGCCGCCGCCCCAGCCGTCGTAGGGTCCATATTCCATGCCGAGGCCCCCCTCCCAAGGCTCATAGTCCATGTACCCTCCGCCCCAGCCTCCGCCAAAGCGGCTCATGCCGTAGCCGCCTCCGTACCCTCCGCCCCAGCCTCCGCCGAGGCGGCTCATGCCGCCGCCTCCGTACGCTCCAAGCATGCCACCGCGGTACCGCTCCGGGCGATACTGGACGTAATCGTAGCCGCCTCCGCCGCCGTACGCGCGATAGGGGCTCATCCCGTACATCATTCGCTGTGAGTATTGGTCGGTGGAAGAAGACGAGTCGAAGGTGAACGGTGTGTTCAGTCGGGAAGGGCCGATGTTTTCGAATCGGTAGGGGCTCATCATTCCGCCGTACATCGAGGTGGCGGCGCGAGCCGACGAGCGCGGCCGGATTGGCGCCACGAGGGCCGCCGTGAGGCAGGCAAACGCGACCAGCATGCAATTGTTCTACAGCTTTCGCAGCTTGATGGGCGAAGTCAAAAGAATTTTACGATAAGCTCCCTCGCACGACACTGGGCACGGGACTGGCGCGCACTGGCACTAACACAGGTACACCGTCAAAAGAATTTCGCCGGTCCATACAGCCCTCCCCCTCGTAGTGCTCTTAGAGGCGAGCCCGGCTACTACGCGCACTAACTTGGTGTGCGGAAGTGAGTGGGCCGCCACAGCGAGCGGGCTAGTGGGTGATTGCCTCCCCGCTCCCGCCACCCCGCCCACTTCATAAGTTAGTGCGCGTAGTGGGTGGGGGCCGCCTTCTAGTGGTCGGCGAGGCCGTGGCCAGGGCCGCGCCCCGGCCCTGCGGCGCCGCCCTAATGAGTGAGTGAGTGCTCGCCGACCCTCCCCGCACCCTAAGTCGGCATCGCTGTTGTGTCCAAGACCTGGCGAAGGCTCCTGACGAAGCAAAGAACGAAATAAATAAAAGAGACAACCCAAGAGGGATGGGAGGACAAACCTACGAAAAAAGGCACGAGAGGTAACGTCTCTCGCGTGGCCAGCCCCCGGGAGGACGAGGCTGCCACCGGCGGATGAGGACGCGCGGCTGTGTGAAGCCGCCACCTGCGGGTGACCTACCGAGGGAGGAAGAGCACACATGCGGCATGATGTGTGAAAATGACGTTTTTAGCCCCCGGTGTGCCAAAGAGAGAAATAAAGAAAACGGACGACAAACCCGAGGGAATGGGAGCGCACAGTGCGGGACGGCACGCGGCCCCCACAGGGATTTCAAGCATTAAGGAGAGGAGTGTGGTGCTATAGCCGCCGCCCACCCTTGGGCGTCTGCCTCTTCCTACTCTCTCTTTGCAGTCTCTCGCCAATTCTCGCGCGACGTCTTTTCTTTCCTCGCCAACGTCTTTTCTTTTGCGGCACTCCCGTGCTAGCCGCCGTGTGAGCACACTCACACACACACTAGCCGCCGCGCAGCAGGTCTGCAGCTGGTCTGCAGAGCCCGGCACTGTGTCACAGGAAGGACTGTGGCCTCGTAGCCCGTCCCCGAGCATCCGGCCCGCTGGGCGCGCTTCATAGCTCCCCGGCCCTGGGTCTGAGGTTGCCGATTGCACTCCAAGTGCTCCAAGTGCCCGTCAGGGCTTTCTTTCTTGCTCGCACGTGGAAATAAATGAAAACGGAGACCTCTACTGTGAGATGGGTAAAAAGGAACAGGTCCCCCCGCCCGTGCGATCTTCGTGCAGGGTTCTCTGTGGGCGTGGTCGGCGACTAGCCGGGGTCGTCCTCCCGATGGGGGACTAGCACTAGCCGTCTTCCACATGGTCCCTCGGGTCCCTGCTGCTCCTAATCTCTTCGTACATCCTCCTGCTGATCTCCGCAAAGTCCTGCTCCCTCCCTCGTCTCGCCCTGCGCGACTGCTCCGCCTCCCCGTCGTCTGCCCTGCGTCGTCTGGCGACTGTGGTCCTCCATAGTCGGTTGAGGTCGCCGCCCTCCTCGTGCCTCTTCCCAACGCTCCCTCGGCGGCCGATGCCGTCTGCTCTCCGACTCCCCCGTCCCCGGGTCTGCCCTGCTCTCGTCTGCGCTAGTCTCTGCTTCGTCACGTTTCACTGGCGTCTCTCCTCTTCTTTCTCCCCACACTTCTTGTATGTGCTCAAAGTGTTCCAACCGCCAAGAATTCTTTCGCCCTTTCCTTCAATTGTTCCAGTGTACACAAACAATACAAGTTCTCTGATTTGATTGGCCGCCTTTGAGAGAGCCGCGAGGCGAGACGGTAAGCGCCGCCCGGTCTCATCGAGAACACAAGGAGCCGGCGTGGACACTACGGAGGACGCCGTGTTGGCAGACGCGCGTGTGTGTGTCAGAGCGGGTCGAGGCCCAGCACGCGCGCGTCTCGCAGCACCTCCCGCAGCTCGGCGTGCGCCGCGGCGTTGGACGCGAGCATCGGCCGCGAGGCGATGCCAAAGGGCCCTCCCCGCAGGTCGCTCACGAGCCCGCCCGCCTCGCGCACGAGCAGCACGCCCGCCGCGGAGTCCCACGCGTTGAGGTCGGCCTCAAAGTAGGCGGAGAGGCGGCCGCACGCGACCCACGCGAGCATGATTGCCGCGGAGCCGAGCCTGAGCACGAGCTCGCGCCCGGTGTCAGAGCATCGCGGGAAGACTGGGCGCTGACCGCCGACTGCGTGTCGTCTCCCTATGTTCCGCATCTAGGCAGGCGAGCATGCGGACGGTGCGTGCGCGCGCGCCGACCGCCGCGATCCCGCGCACCATGGGCGCGAGAGACGCCTGGAGAAGCAGCCGAGGGACGGTCGAGATGCGGGACGAGGTTTGGCCGAGAAGCGTCGAGAGAGACGACGCCTCGGTTGGAGCGAAGCCGGTGGCGACGACAGCGTCAGCGAGTGGCTCGACCCCGACGCGGACGGGAGAGCCGTTGAGCGTGCAGCCGCCTGCAAGGGGGGGTGGCGGCGGCGGTGGCGGCGGTGGCGGTGGCGGTGGCGGTGGAAGTGGCGATGGCGGCGGCGGCAGCCTCTTCGCGGAGCGTCTCGGAAGCGTCTCGGAAGGGTCCCGGAAGCGTCTCGGAAGCGTCTCGGAAGAGTCTTCGCCTCCGAGGGTGGCGGTGACGGTCTCCTCGCGGAACGGGTCGACCACGACGCCGACGACGACCTCCCATCGCTGCTCCGCCGCCTCGCCCACGCGGCGCGCCTAAGATGAGCCTCCCCTCGGCTCCTCTCTGGCCCGCCTCAAGGCCCGCCCCGCGCCCTCCTCGCCCCGCGCCACTCCAATCGAGACGCCCACCAGCGGCAAGCTCTGCACAAAGTTGGTCGTCCCATCAAGAGGGTCGACGACCTGTTCACAGCAATGGGTGTGAAGAGACGCTGTTCACACCTCCTGGTCCCGTCGAGAAAGTCGACGACCCAGAGCCAGTCGCTGCCGCACGCGTCCAGCGCGCAGCGCAGCGCGTCTGCGGACGCCGTCGCGCCCGCGGGCACGCTCTCCTCTCCTGTGGGGGAAGGGTCCGAGGAAGGTCCGAACAGGGCGTGCAGCGAGGAGGAGGCTCCGAGACGGCTCCTCTCGCCAAGGAAGGCGTGGGCGGGGAAGGCAGCGCGCACGGCCGCCTCGATGACCTCCTGCGCCTCCCCGTCCACCGCGGTGAGCAGGTCGCCGCGCGTCGCCTTCGTCTTGAGCACGCCGGCCCCGACCCTACTCTCGGCACAGTCTCGACATCCGAGAGGGCGACCTCGCGCCGCCTCTCCAGCACGCCGCTGGCGAGCCGGTCGCGCACGAGCGCCGCCGCCGCGCGGCCCGCCGCCTCGGCCACCTCGGCCACCTCCTCCAGCGTCGGCGAGGCGCCTAGGGGACGGCTCCGAGAAGGGTCCGAGAAGGGTCCGAGCGTGTGTGCGACCTCCTGGCGACAGCGAGAGCGCCTGCCCGCGCGCCGTCGCCCCGAGGAGCGTCCAGGCCGGCCGCCGCCGCGCTCATCGAGGGGAGCCCGCCGCGTGCGATGGCCGTCGCATGGAGGCGCTTCCGCAGCAGGCGCTGCGGCGGCGCAGAGGCGTCGGTGAAGGTGGCGGCGGAGAAGAAGGACCGCTGTGGCTCGTCGAGCAGCGGCGCGAAGCCGATCGCCTCGTACAGCGCGAGCGCGGGCGCGTTGTCCTGCGTGGCCAGGCCGCGGGGTCAGCGGCTCAGGCTCGGGTGGCTAACTCCGCAGTCTCAGAGGCGTCTCGGAGGCGTCTCGGAGGAGTCTCGGAAGTGTCTCGGAGGAGTCTCGGCGGCACCTCCTCCACGTGCAGCACGAGCTCCTCGCCGCCGAGGGAGAGCGCCTGCGCCTCCGCGAGGCGCATTAGCCCGCGCGCGATGCCGCGCCGCCGCGCCTGCGCATGAACTGCCACGTTCGTCACGTAGCACGAAGCGGTCGTCGCCTGGAGCAGGTCCGCGCAGCCGAGAATCGGGCCAGCCTCACCCGCGACGGCCCGACTGGCTGCCACGGCGACGACCGTTGCCGTCTTGGCGGCCATGGACTCCTCAAATACGCGCTGCTGCAGGTAGCGGCTGTACGGGGCACGGAGGTGGCCGCAGAAGGTGTGCACGCGGAGGACGGCGATGTCGGCCGACTCCTCCGGCCGGGCGCGGCGAAAGACGGTGGCGGATGGCGCATGCGTGACCAGGGACGCGCACATCACGAGAGACCAGATCATGCGTGGGAGCTACAGCCGTCCGAGGAAGCAGGGAGGGCGAGAAAGCTTTCCCTGGGCCAGCCGCTTTAAAGAATTTTCTGGTACTCGGGACTGGCGCGCACTGGCACTAACATATTTAACTTTCTTTCTTTACTGAGGTAACCGTGCACCGCGCTGCGAGCCTGTCGTGTCCCTTGTCAGGAGTAGGAGAGCCCACCTGTCCCCCTGATCGTCCTTCCAAAATCCTGCTCGTGCAGGTGGGGACCCTGTCCTCCTCCCCTATCCCTCGTTTGGGTTGTAGTCTGTTCTTTCTTTCTTTCTTTTACTGAGATAAAGAATTAGGGTGGATGGGCAACGGCTAACACCACACTCCTCTCCTTAAAATCCCTGTGTGGTGGCGGGCTGGCGGCGTGCCGTCCTCCCACCCATCCCTCCCTTGGGTTGTCTGTTTTCTTTCTTTCTTTCTTTGAGATAAAGAATTGTCCGTGCGCGTGGCTCAGGACTAAGCGACGAGGGTTGTCTATTTTCTTTCTTTTCTGACGAGGGCTCGTCCGCGATGATGCGGGGCAGCTTAGTAGCGCGACATTGAGCACCACCAGAAGGGTGTCGGCGAGTGGAGCGTGGAACAGCTGCAGCAGCTCCGCGACACGGGCACGTGCTCCTACATACCCCCTTACCCTTTGGCCGACCATACCGTCCCCGCAAAAAGTTGCAGGTCTGTCGACCGCGACCCGTAATGCGGTGAAACCCACACTGCCCTGACCTGACTACCACACTGCCCGCTCGCGAGGTCTACGAGAGAAGAAGGGTACAGTGATGCTTCGCGCGACGCGACGGGCGAGTGGCTTCCGCGCTGCCGCCGGCACGTCCGCTCGCCGCTGCGCATCTGGCTTTCCAGAGGCGAGCACGATTTGGAAGGACGGCGAACTAATCCCGTGGAAAGAGGCAAACGTGCACATCCTCTCGACGGCGGTACAGTTCGGATCTTCACTCTTCGAGGGCATCCGTTGCTACGGCACGCCGAGCGGTCCTGCCATTGTCCACCTCGACGGCCACCTGCGCCGGCTGCTCGACTCGTGCAAGATGTACCGCGTCGACGTGCCCTACAGCGCGGAAGAGCTCGCCGCCGCGTGCTTTGACGTCGTCGAGGCCAACGGGCTGCACGACGGCTGCTACATCCGCCCCATGGTCCTGCGCGGGTACGGAGCAGTCGGCATGGATGGCAAGGGCTCGCCGGTCGAATGCTACATCCCCGCGTGGAAATGGGGCGCGTACCTCGGCGCCGACGCCTTCTCCACCGGCATCGACTGCTGCACCGCCAGCTGGGCGCGGCCGGCGCCAAACACGTTCCCTGGCATGGCCAAGGCGGCTGGCAACTACAACAACGCCGCGCTCATCAAGATGGAGGCGCAGGCGAACGGGTACGTGGAAGCGGTCGCGCTGGGGAGCGACGGCATGGTCTCCGAGGGCTCCGGACAGAACCTGTTCGTCGTGCGCGACGGTGCGCGAGTCAAAGAGATGTCGACGCCCACCTGTCAACGGCCTGGAACCTCTCCCGGCACCGCGGGACCCGGCACCGCGTCCTTAGGCGAGATCGCGACGCCGCCGATCAACGGCTCGAACCTGCAGGGGCTGACTCGCGCGTCCGCGCTGCAGCTCGCCGCAGAGGCGGGTGTGCCCGTCCGCATCGAGCCGATCCCGCGGGAGGCGCTCTACGTGGCGGACGAGCTCTTCTTCACGGGCACCGCGACCGAGGTGATGCCGATCGCCTCGCTGGACCGCATCGCCATCGGCAACGGCAGGCGGGGCCCGATCACCGAGCGGCTACAGCAGAGGTACCAGGACATCATCCACGGCCGATCGGAGGATGTGTACGGTTGGATGAGTTTGCGAGGTGGCGGAGTCTAAGAGTCGGCGGCGGACAAATTGTTGTTTTGTTGAAATTATTTTCCTGAAGCTCCAGGTAAGAAACAAAGAAGAAGAAAAACATCGCGCACTTCCACGCCGCAGCCCACGCCGGCAAGTGGCGGAGCCTGCGTTTTCATCGGTGCCGTTTTCATCGGTGCATGCGATTGCCGAGCAAGCTCGCCACACTCGCCGCCGCCTTCACGACCTCGCCGAGGATGATGAGTGCCGTAGCCCCGCCGATCGCCAAGCGCGTGCCACACACAGTCACGTTTGGCCGCGTCGATGGCGAGAACCGCGGGCCAAACCCAATGGAGCCGCTCGAGCTGTCGGACGACCTCTTCTGGATCCGGGACGACAGCCGGAAGAACGAGGACATGCTCCAGCTGCTACGCGACGAGAACGCCTACTCGCAGCACAAAACCTCCACCCTCGACGGTTTCAGAGGCACGCTGTACGATGAGATGCTTTCGCACGTCCAGGAGGACGACGACACGCACCCCACGCCCGCCGCGGACGGATACGAGTACTGGAGCCGCACCACCAAGGGCAAGTCCTTCCGGGTGTACCTCCGCCGGCCGCGCGGCAGCGCCGGCGAGGAGCAGACGATTCTCGACGTGAACGAGGTGCCGAGCCTGCAGTACTTCAAGGACGAGGGCGGGTGGGCCTGTCCTGGCCCCTCACTGTCTTCTTGCCCAACCGCTTTTGATGCCGGCATTGCTGCGCGCCTGTAGGTGGGACGCGAGCCAGTGCGACGTGCACGCGGTGCAGACAGCCCGTCCGGCAGGCTGCACACACTAGCTCTTGAGGGTTTCATTATTAATTACTAGGTGGAGACGAGCCCGTCTGGCCGGCTGCTCGCGTACGCAGTGGACGGGTCCGCGGATGAGACGGACACGATCCGCGGGAACGTCTCTGAACCGCCTCTGAGCCGCCTCCGCGCCGCCCCCGTAGGTCGGGGTACGAGACGTACACGGTGAGGCTCAAGGAGCTGGGCAGCGGCGTGGAGATGGAGGAGGAGATCCGCGGGACGGGAGGGAGCATCGCGTGGGCGGACGAGCGCACGCTCTTCTACGTGAAGCTCGACGCGCAGCACCGGCCCTTTGAGGTACGTGGCAACCTTTCTTGCCGCGTCAACCACGACTCGAGCGCAGCAGCACGCCTCGAGCCTCACCAGCGAGTCCGCCCCTCGGAAGGTGTGGAGGCACGTCATCGGCACGGCGCAGGCGGAAGACGTGCGTGTCTTCGAGGCGCCGAGAGCTCTTCAAACAGAGGACCGTCTCGGCGATCTCCCGGCTACATCTCGGCCACCTCTCGGCTGCATCTCGGAGTAGGAGCCGGACGAGCTCTTCAACGTGGACTGCTGGACCTCGCGCGACGCCTCGCTGCTCTTCATCGAGTCCGAGTCCAAGGAGAGACGCCTCCGACTCACCTCCGAGACACACCTCCCAGACACCTCCGATACACACCTCCCAGACACCTCCGAGACACACCTCCGACACACCTCCGACACACCTCCGACACACCTCCGACACACCTCCGACACACCGCCCAGACACCGCCCAGACACCGCCCAGACGCGTGTCATCTCCGGCGTGCCCTCCTCGCAGGAGACGACCGAGATGCTCTTCGTGCCGACCGCCACGCCCGCCGCCGACCCGACCCTCATCCGGCGGCGCAAGTTTGGCGAGCGGTACGACGTCGACTCGCACTCTCCATCGCGCACCCTCTTCCTCACCTCGAACGCCGACGGCCTCGCCCGCCGCGCAGCTCCGCTCTCAGAGCAAGCGGGAGGCGCTGAGCTGCTCCTCCCCCCCCCTCACCAGGCCTCGTCAACCGGCAGCTCTACTCGGCTCCGATCGACGACCCGGCAAACTGGACGCCGGTCGCCGGCGGCGATGGCGCGCCCGTCCTCCCGCACTCGGCCTCCCGCTCGCTCGACGGGGTGAGCGCCTTCCACTGCTCTCTCCTGGAAGCCCCCCGGACCTCTCCTGGACCTCTCCCTGATCCTTCCTGCAGGTGAGCGCCTTCGGCGGCTTCCTCGCGGTGAGCGGCCGCGAGGAGGGCTTCACGCAGCTGTGGGTGGTTGCGTTGCGGGAGGGGGTTGCCGCGGCGGGCGCGCACCGGCTCGGCTTCGAGGACGAGAGCTTCACGGCGGAGCTGGGGAGCAACCGGCTCTTCGAGGCGGCCGGCCGGCTGAGGGTCGAGTACTCGTCGATGACGTCGCCGCGGCAGCCCCGCGAGAGGGCGCGTGCGGCGAGAGGCGGCGCGCTCTGACGCGTGTGCTCCCCTCCCCCCCCCCCCTTCAGGCAGCTGCGCGAGTACGACGTGGGGGCGGGCTACTCGCACGCCACGCTCAAGGAGCAGCCGGTGCCGGGGTACGACCCCTCCCTCTACCAGACCCGCCGCATCGAGGTGGCGGCGCGCGACGGCGAGGCGGTGCCCGTGACGCTGCTCTGGCGCTCCGACGCCGTCGAGGAGGGGCGGCCTGCTCCGTGCCACCTCTACGGGTACGGCAGCTACGGCGTCCGCCTGCGACCAGCGCGTGGACTCCGCCTCGCGCGAGACCGGGCTCAGCCACCGCGTGACGCACGGCCGATAGGCATCTGCATGGACCCCTCTTTCTCCGCCTCGCGCCTCGCCCTCGTTGACCGCGGAGTCGTCTACGCCGTCGCGCACATCCGCGGCGGCGGCGAAATGGGCCACCACAGGTGGTACGAGGCGGCGGGCAAGTACCTCGCGAAGAGGCGCGGCTCGCCCCTTCCTGTTCCCACTCTTGCTCCGGTGCGGTGCTGCGAGGTCGCCGTTGCCCCCTCACCGCCCCTCCCCCCCCGTCGAGCAGGAACACCTTCACCGACTTTGTCGACTGCGGCAAGGCGCTGCTCGAGCGGGGCATCGCCGAGCCGGGCCGGCTCTCGTGCGAGGGCCGCTCCGCCGGCGGCTTGCTGGTGGGCAACGTGGTCAACATGGCGCCCGAGCTCTGGTGCGCCGCGGTGGCGGGCGTGCCGTTCGTCGACCTGATGGTGACGATGTGCGACCCGTCGATCCCGCTCACGACGGAGGAGTGGGAGGAGTGGGGCAACCCGAACGAGGAGAAGTACTACGAGTACATGCGCAGCTACTCGCCCATCGACAACGTGCGCGAGGGCGTCGTCTACCCAAAGACGCTCATCGTCTCTGGACTCAACGTGCGCGCCTCCCCTTGGTCCGCGAGGAGGTGATCCGCCCAACGCCCCCCTCTCACCGCGCCCTGCACTTGCTCGCGCGCAGGACCCGCGCGTGGCGTATTGGGAGCCAACAAAGTGGGCCCAGGTTTTGCGCGCCAAGGTGGCCAACGGCGACGACGTGCTGCTCAAGATGGACCTCGCCGCCGGCCACTTCTCCGCCGCAGACCGCTACCGCTACCTCCGCGAGCTCGCCTTTGACTACGCGTGGCTGCTCGAGCAGCTGGGCAAGGCAGAGGCGACTGCGCCGGCCACCAGCTAGTAGAGTCAAGCTTTCGTCCTCGCGTTGGCTAATGCACTCTGGTCTCTGCGCGAGACCGAGGGACCATCGTTCCGGACCGGTGAGGCGGTGTAAATCGAAATGGTAATTTGCAGCGAGGCCCTGAAAAGTTTGCCGTGCCGCTGGCTAGAGCGTAGAGGAGGGGCGAGGGCAGGCGGCAGAGGTGGGACTGGGAGGTGGATGCAGGAACTCCAGGATGGCGCCGGCCGGGCCCGGGGGCATGCGCGGCTTTGGGGGGGCTTTGAGCGGGGGCTGGTCCGTGGAGCGTGGTCGGGGCGCTTACGCGATACGCCTTACCTGATATCGCGCAACAGCGTCACACGCCTCTGCTCACACCCACAGCGGACATCACATGCTGCTCGAGCAGATAGCGGAGTTCCGCTTTCGACGCCCTGCTAAATCCACGCCGGCACCGCCGGGCCGGCGAAGCGGCGTGTTCTGGGAAGCCGTTTTTGTTTCTTTTGGCGGCTTCTAGAAGGCTTTGCCCCCAATTTTTTTTCTGTGTCAGTGCCAGTGCGCGCCAGTCCCGTGCCTAGTGTGAAAGGAAGAAAGAAAACAGAAAAGCTAACGTGCGCGCGGAATTTCTTTTTCTGGCGGCGTGCGAGAGAGGGTGGAAGGCCATCACCGCGAGGATGTGTGTCCGCAGCGGCATGCCTCCTCAGTTTGAGGCCTCCGAAGGGCGCAAGCGGCACCCCGCGCGTGGCGAAGACGGCGCTTCGAACGACGGTCACGAGCAGGCGGCCGGGTCCGCCGGCACGAAACAGGACAAGTCGTGCTGCGGCAAGGCAAACACACCATTATGCTGCAGCCCTTCACACAGCCCTCCACACCGCATTCCCGTGTTGCCGGCACTTAGCGCATCCCCCCTCATTCGCAGGTTCGCATTCGTGTCATCGGCAACCTCGAGATTGACGAGATCGACGCCGACTCCGACGACGAGCTCCCGCCCCTTGAAGATGCGGTTTCGGCCGAGAGCATCCAAGACTTTGACGAGGCCATCGACGAGGCGGATGCGCGCGAGGCGGCAGTCACGAAGGCAGCCGCGAAGGAGGCGGCGGAGACGGCGGTGGCGGCGGAGGCACGTGCGGCGGAGGCAAGCGCTGCGGGGGCGGCGCTGGCCGCGGCCGAGAAGCAGAGGGCTGAGGAGGAACGCGCGGCACGCGAGGCCCAGGCGGCACAGGTGGCCGAGGCCGAGAAGTGGGCCGCGTTTGAAGCGGCGCAGGCGGCCGAGGAGGATCGGCGCCGGGCGGTCGATGCGGCGGCGGCGGCGGCGGCTGAGGTGGAGAAGGGGGCCGAGGCGAAGCGTGCCGAGCGCAAGGCGGCGAAGGAGCGGGCACGTGAGGAGCGTGAGGCGGAGGCGGCGGCCGTCGCCCGCATGAACCGCGAAGCTGATCACAAGGCGAGACTCCCCGCGCCCACTTACTGCATGCCCTGCTCCGCCTCCGCCCTCGCCACCCCCCACCACCGTCACCGCCTCCCCCCTCTCCACCTCCGACGCCGCCCCCACCCTCGCCTCCTCCTCTCCCTCGCCGCCTCCGCCAGCGCCTCCTCCGCCGTCGCCACCCCCACCCGCTCTGCCTCCCCCGTCGCCGCCGCCACCCCTCCCTCCGCCGCCCACACCACAGCCCACACCCCCGCCACCGTCGCCGCCGCCCCCCAACCCCCCCCCCCTTATTCATCAGCCCCTTCCTTTTAGGCGTCCGAGGCGCAGAAGCAGGCGAAGAAGGAGGAGAAGAAGAAGGCGCGGCAGGAGGCGAGCAAGGCCCGGGACGACGAGAAGTACGCGCGGGCGGCAGCCGCGGCGTCGGCGGCGGCAGAAGGGGAGGGAAGGGAGGAGGGCGAGGGGGAGGATGCGGACGAGGCAGCTCGCGAGGCGGAGGCGCTGCTCGAGGCCACGCGCGAGGGCAAGGCGCTCGGGGAGGCGCCGTGGGCGGCAGTCGAGAAAGGAGACGCTGGCCGCCTCGAGGCGTGGATCGCCGACGGCGGCAACGCGGACCAGCGGTGGACCTGCGCGGGACGGACCCACAACATCACTCTGCTGATGCTGGCCTCCAAGTACGGCCACCTCGACCTCGTTCGTCTGCTGCTTCGGAGCGGCGCCTCGGCTGCGGCCCGGGCCAGCAGTGGCGTGACGGCGCTGTCGCTAGCAGCGCGCAACGGCTCATCCGAGATCGTGAGCCTGCTTCTGGCCGCGACGCCGCCCCCTCTCCGCATGGACATCGAGTCGGCGCTCGAGGACGCCGTGTCCGGTTCTGGGCGCGACCTTTCTGATCCCGTGGTGATCGCCTTCATGAAGGCGGGCATCGTGAGTATCGACTTTGTCTGGCGTGTCGCTGGACAGGCGGACGGCGAGGCGGAGACGGCGGTCGATTTGTGGCTTAAGCGCGGCGTCGACGTGAACATGTGGATGACGCCATATGCCGGGGAGGGCCGCAAGCCCTGGCACCGCGTCACGCTGCTCATGCTGGCCTGTATCCGCGGCGCACCCGAGCTGGTGAAGCTCCTGCTCCAGCGCGGCGCAGCAGTGAGCCTGCAGAACAGCGAAGACTCGGGCGCGCTCGCGCTGGCAGTGAGGAACTACGACAAGTTCGAGGAGGCGGAAGTCATTCGCTTGATTCTGGCTGCGAGCCCCAGCGACGACGACATCTTCGATGCCGGCTGGCAGGCGACACGGGCAGGAGCAAGCCCGTCCGCAGTCGAGGCGCTGATCGAGGGCGGCTTGAACGTGAACGCTGTCTTGACTACATCGCAGTGCGGTCGCGACAGCGACGGGATGAGCTCCACGCTTCTCATCATGGCCGCGAGCCGCAACGCAGCCATCGCGAGCTTCCTGCTGCGGCACGGCGCCTCGGTCGCAGTACGAAACCGCAGTGGTGAGACAGCCTTGATGGCGGCCGTCATGTACAACCAACCCGACATCGTTCGCCTCTTCATCCTCGCTGGGGCGGCGGCGAGCGGCGAGGACGGTGCCGCCTCGCTGCGTGAGGCCGAGTGGCGTGGCCTGACCGAGGTAGCAGAGCTATTGTCTCAGGCAGTGCGCGAGAACGACCTCTTATTCCAGGCCGCGTACACCGGCGACTGCGCGACGGTGCTCACGCTCCTCGGCGACAGCGGCATGGCAGTGGACGCGCCCCGCGCCAACGGAATGTCGCTGCTGATGGTCGCGGCTAGCACGGGCCACGCTCGCCTGGTCGCGGTGTTGCTGCGGCGCGGTGCTATCGTCGACCTCCAAGACCGCAACGGGTGCACCGCTCTGATGCTGGCCGCCAGCAGCCAAGACTGCCCCGGCATCGTCGGCCAGCTGCTTGCCGCCGGCGCGACCTTTGCGCTGCGCAACGCGGAAGGCATGACGGCGCCGCAGCTGGCGAAGCGGGCAGGCCACACTCGTGTCCTGGGCGTCTTCAAGTCGCACATCGCACGCGCTCTCGCCACACCCGAGGCCGCTCCGGCAAGCGCGGAGGCTGAGGCCACCGCAATCGCCGAGGAGAGCCGTGTGTCGGCAGAGGAGCAGGCGTGGTCCGAGGGCCAGGCGGCGGCCGCTGCTGCATCGGCGGCGGCGGCGGAAGCGGCAGGCGAAGCGGCCGCCGCAGCTGAGCGAGCAGCGATGCCAGACGCCATTGCAGTTGCAGCTGAGCGTGGCGAGAAGAAGGCGGTGGTGGCGTGGCTCGACGCCGGCGGGTGCCTCGATGCTCTTGCTGCGGGCGGCTTCACGCTGCTAATGCTTTCCGCGTACGCAGGGAGCCAGCGGATAGTCGACTCGCTGCTGCAGCGCGGCGCGTCGGTCAACCTGACGAGCAAACACGGCGGAGGCGCGCTCATGTTTGCTGTTATGATGGGCCACGCCAGTATCGCGCGCCGCCTGTTGCGGGCGGGCGCTGATCCAGAGCAGAAGTGGAACGGCGATACCGCCTTGCAGCTGGCCAAGGAGAGGGGCGCCGCCACGTGCGTCAGCGTCATTGAGGAGCACCTGGCGGCGGCGGCGGCGGCCGATCTGGCGGCGAAGGAGAAGGAGGCGGCGCGGCATGCGAAGGAGCTGCTGGCGGAGGTCGAGGCGGAGCGCTGCAAGGGCAAGAAGAGCAAGAAGAAGAAGAAGAAGGGCGGCGGGGGCGGCACGGCTGGGCCGCCGCAGGAGGCCGCGACTGCGGAGACCGCTGCCGTCGGGCCCGAGCCGCTTGGGCTTCTCAAAGAGCTCGACACGGAGAGGATTCGGCACAGCGTCGGGGAGGAGCCGACGGCGGCCGAGGCGTCGGAGGAGGGAGCGGAGAAGGGAGCGACGGCGGAGGCGGCCACGGCCGCAGTGGCCGCGGAGACGTCGCCGAAGGAGGTGGCGGCGCTTGGGGTGACAGCGGCGGCGGAGCCGGCAGTCGAAGGGGAGGAGAGCCGCGGGGCGGCAGAGGAGCTGGCGAGGTCGGAGGTGTCGGCTGCAGCTGAGGCGGCCGAGGCGGCAGCCAAGGCAGAGGAGGAGGAGGCAGCGGCAAAGGCAGAAGAAGAGGCAGAGGCGGAGGCCAAGACGGAGGCGGCGAGGGCGGCGGCAGAGCAGGCGGCGGCGGCAGAGGCGGCGAGGGTGGCGGCAAAGCAGGCGGCGGCCGCAGAGAAGGCCCGCCTCGAGGAGCAGGCTGCAGCCGAGGGCGGAGCGGCGAGCGAAGCGGCAGCTGCGGAGCGAGCGGCAATGCTAGAAGCCGTGCTCGAAGTCATTATCGACGCTGCTGGTTGCGGCGACAAGGGGAGGGTGATGGCGTGGCTCGACGCCGGCGGGCGCATCGATGCTCGTGCTGCTGGCGGCCTCACGTTGCTAATGGTTGCCGCCATATGCGGCCAGCTGCGGCTTGTCGAGTCGCTGCTGCAGCGCGGGGCATCGGTCAACCTGACGAGCAAACGCGGCGGACCAGGCGCGCTGCTTATGGCTGTCGTGAACGACCACGCCAGCGTCGCACGCTGCTTGCTGCGGGCGGGCGCTGATCCAAAAATGAAGTGGGCCCTTGCCGATAAGACCGCCTTGCAGGTGGCCAAGGAGAGGGGCGCCGCTACGTGCGTCAGCGTCATTGAGGAGCACCTGGCGGCCGAGCTGGCGGTAAAGGAGGCGGCGGCGGCTGCCGAGCTGGCGGCGAAGGAGGCGGCGGCGGCGGCCGAGCTGGCGGCGAAGGAGGTGGAGGCGGCGCGGCATGCGAAGGAGCTGCTGGCGGAGATCGAGGCGGAGGAGCGCTGCAAGGGCAAGAAGAGCAAGAAGAAGAAGAACAAGGGGGGTGAGACCGGCACGACTGGGCCGCCGCAGGAGCAGGAGGAGGCCACGGTGGCGGCGGAGGCGGCGCCGAAGGAGCTGCCGCTCGAGGGGAGGCGGCGCCCGCGACGGCGCTCATGAGGAGGTGACGGAGAGGCGGAGGCGGCAGTCGAAGAGGCTGCTCCCGCCGCCCCGCCTCTCGAGGCCAAGGCTCGGGCGCCAAGGCGGCGCGCGCGGGAGGTGGGATGGCGCGGCTGTGGCCTGTGCACACACGGGGAACTGAGAACAGAGGAAGAGAGGCCAAGACGCGCGCACACACCGTGATCACACCGACCTACATGACACACACGACACACACGCCTTCACGCGACACGCGCCGGCGGTGAGCTCAAGAGTGGGCTGAGGGGGGAGGGGAGGATTAGTGAGCATCACATGGTCGCAAGCCTCGCACGCGTATAACTGTACACATTAAACCCTACCCCCCAAAAGATGCGCGGCCCCGCGACCCCGCCACACATGCTGTTTAGTTTTGCACGCTCCCCTGTCCGTGTCGCGCAACCCATGGACAGAGCTCTCTGATATTGAGTGAGTCGTGGAGCTCTGGCGTGCTGTGTCCGCCCCGCGCGCTGCACCGTGTGTCGGCCTCGATCGGACGATCGGGTCGGTCTGCCGCGTCCAGCTCACTGCGCGTCCGCCTCGGCTCGGTCGGTGCTCGCCGGCGCCGGCTGCGGCGCGGCGGCCGATCCGCCCCACCCGAACATGCCCATCCACTCTTGCACGACGCTCTTCGCGTCGGACTGCACCTCGGCGGCGTACTCCGAGAGCGAGGCCGAGTCGAGCTGCTGCGCGAGGGCCGCCGCCTCCGCCGCGGCCGTTGCTCCGTACGTCAGCCCCGTCCGCAGGAGGCCGACACCCTGGCCCGCCGCGCTCAAGACGGCGCTCGCCGTCGCCTCCACCACCTGGTGCGCGAGCGAGGGGAGCGCGGCCGTCAGAGAGTGCGCGAGCGCGAGATCTACTCGCACTCCGGCTGCGGGACCCCAGAGAGCGTGGCGGAGGGGGGAGGGGGGGGTCTACGAGCTCCCGAGAGGAGCGTCGTCTGTCGGCTCTCTACAAGTGCGCCTTGTCCACGCTCTTGATGCCGTCCACCGCCACGCCGCCCCAATCCTGCCCGGCGCAATCCTGCGCCTCGACCCCCTCCCCCGCCGCGGGCAGCACGTCCGGCATCAGCACGTCGACCGCCGCCTCGTCGTCGAGCGGCGCCGACGCGCGCCGCGGCGCCGGGCTCTCGATCTGTTCCGCGCCCTTTCCCGCGATCTCGCCCGCGCCCTCTCCCTCCGCCAGCTGCGACGGCGGCCGCGGGAGCGGCTCGGGGGTCGACGGCTCGCGCGGCTGTGGCTCCGGCGGTGGCTCGGACAAATCGATGTCCTCCACCCCTCCCTCATCCACCTGGGCCTGGGCCTCCGCCTCCTCGCCGCCGGCCGCCGCCACCGCTGCACCTGCAGCAGCTGCCGTGCCCGAGCTGCCGTCGGGAAGGAGCAGCCTCAGCGTGAGCGTGTCGCCGCTCGAGACGCCCGCGCTGCCGAGCGTCGCGCCCTCGTCGTCGAGGGGCGTCTCGCCGAACGGGGAGGAGACAGAGAGCGCCAACTCGGCCGCGCGCATGCCGGTGATGGCCTCCACCTTTGCCTTGACCTCCGCCACCGTCTCGCTCGCCGATGTCGAGATCGTGAGCGTCACTCCGTACAGCGGCTGCAGCGACGCCGGCACCTCCACTGTCACCTCAAAGGCCGCCGCCGCAGCCGCCGCCGCCTCCGCCACTGCCGCCTCCGCCGCTGCCGCTGCCGCAGCCGCAGCCGCCGCCTCTTCTTCCGCCTCGAGACGGGCCCCCTCCTCCTTCTGCCTCACCCGCTCCGCCTCCGCCGCCGCCTCGGCTTCGGCTTGCTTGCGCGCCTCGTCCTCCAGGCGTAGACGCTCCGCCACCGCCTCCGCCTCCGCCTCCGCCGCCGCGGCAGCCTCCGCCTCCGCCGCCGCGGCAGCCTCCGCCTCCGCCGCCGCGGCAGCCTCCGCCTCCGCCGCCGCGGCAGCCTCCGCCTCCGCCGCCGCGGCAGCCTCCGCCTCCGCCGCCGCCGCCGCCTCCGCCTCTGCCGCTGCAGCAGCCTCCGCCGCCGCCGCCGCAGCAGCCTCCGCCTCTGCCGCCGCAGCAGCCTCCGCCGCCGCCGCCGCAGCAGCCTCCGCCTCTGCCGCCGCAGCAGCCTCCGCCGCCGCCGCCGCAGCAGCCTCCGCCTCTGCCGCCGCGGCAGCCTCCGCCGCCGCCGCCGCAGCAGCCTCCGCCTCCGCCGCCCTCTCCGCCTCCTTCGCCGCCCTCTCCGCCTCCTTCGCCGCCTCCTCAGCCGCCACCCTTGCAGCCTCCTCCTGCGCCGCCTTCTCGGCCTCGGCTCGGGCGGCCTCCTCAAGGCACAGTCGCTCCGCCTCGGCCGCAGCCGCCTCGGCAGCAGCCTGCTTCTTGAGGCGGGCCGTCTCTGCGGCCGCCGCCTGCTCCGCCGCCACCCTCGCCGCCTCGGCCGCCGCCGCCTGCTCCGCCGCCGCCCTCGCCGCCTCCGCCTTGGCCGCCGCCTCTGCCGCTTCTTCTGCCTTTGCCGCTGCCTCCTCCTCCTCCTCCTCTGTCCTGGCTACCGCGTCGTCTTCGGTCACCTCGTCCGGCGTGGTGTCGCCTTCCGCGTTCGTCACAGGCTCATCGGGCGATAGCCCTGCCTCTGCGGCCGCCACCTCATTTGCCTCGACGCGCACGTCGGTCGGCGAGCCCACCTTCGGGCTTGGGCTGCCGTTGCCGCCCTTGCTTCCCCCGCTCCCACGACCCTTCTTCTTTGGCATCGCGAACTGAAGTTGTCCCGGGGCCCGGGTGGAGGAGAGCAGCAGCCATAAAAGAATTTTCCCCATAATATCGGCCGATGCTGGAAGACGTTAAAATCCCTGTGTGGTGGCGGCGTGCCGTTCTCCCATCCCTCCCTTGGGTTGTCTGTTTTCTTTCTTTCTTTCTTTTGCTGGAAGACGCCGGCCGTGGCGTCCCAGATGGCAGACGGGCGGGGATGGCCAGAACCCATATGACCGCTCCGGCGGCCGATGGCAGAATCTGCACCGACCGCAAAACTAGCGTCCCACACTGGCCAGTAAGTATCTTCCCGAGTAAGTATCCATCCAACCCCTGCCTAGACGAGTACAGCTAAAGAGTACCCGGGGCTCCCCATGCGGGGGCCCGTCAACATCTTCAGCTTGTGAGCCAGGAAAAGGGTTGCCGAGTATCCCGAGGTGTCCAGTGCGGGTTTGCTGCTAGCTTAAGACGGGGCGGTGGAGGGAGGTTGGAGCGGGTGTGCGAGCGATCCGAACGTGGCATTTGGGTGATCAGACAGATCACTATCTAGATACCGCCGAAACGCAAGAGCACTGCTGTAACTGCGACGCATCGGGGGCATGCATTTTCAGCGAGAGCAGGCAGGTAGAGCGAAACTGCTGGAGGCGATACGGGGACAGAGGAAGGAGGAAGTAGGGACCCAAGAGCGGACATAACTGGTTCCACAAAAGATTTAACCCTCCGCCACGTCATTCATGGATGGGGCCATTCGGAGTGCCGCGGCCGGCTAGCTCGTGACGGGCAGAGTCCGAGCGAGGGTTGCAGCCGTGAGGCTCGCTCGGGCCCTGGGGTGCAGTCTGAGGCTGAGGCCCCACGCCCGTCGCTCGGGCGCGGAGGCGAGCGACGAGCGCATTCGGTACCCAGGTCATTCGATCATTCGAGGCGCGCGCGCATCGCGTTCACAACTGCCGCACGCCCTTCCTATTAACCCTGGTAGGTGGACAAAATTACGCGAAAATCGCCCTCCCCTCCCTAACATTAGCCGGCCAAAATGTGCTCTCGCCGGTTAATATTAGGGAGGGGGGGGCGGTCGGGTGTCAGACCTAGCTCTAGGCGTGCGAGGCTGACGTATTTTGGACAATCCACCTACCAGGGTTAATGCTAGATAAGCAAGAGCCAAGACCTGTGACGCTGTGACGCGCAAGTTCAAAGCCCAGCGAAACGCAAAGAGGAAATTTTGCACGGCAATGGCGCCCCGCAATTTGTTCAGCACCTCACTGCCCCGCTGCGATGGAGCTGCTCCGCCTCCGCTGCTTGTGCTGGGCATGATGGTGAAGCCCGCCGAGGTGCGATTACGTCAAGTCATGCGCTCGCTCTACCAGCAAGGCGTGCCGCTCTTCACTGACATGGCTGAGAGGGTCAGCCTCCACTTCTTCTGCCTACGGGTTGTGTGGGAGGCACACCGCCGAAGTGGGAATGAAACGGCCGAAGCGATGGACAGTGAGACCAATAACGCGCGTGACATCTTCCTGCTAGACGAGACGCTCCCTGGTTCTCTCGCAGATGCGCCAGAGACTGCCTGCATCGCGCAGATTGTTGAATGGTTGCGCGTTGCGACGAGGCTGGTCCCGTGCACGAAGTTTGTGGGATGGATGGACGACGATATGCTCGTCAACCTGCATCGAGTGGCCATCTTCTTGCGAGAGATGCAGCAGGTGATTCCCAAGAACCATGAAGCTGTGCTCGGTTGCATGTATCACCACCCCGGCTTCAACCTCACTGCCAGAGCCTTCTTGCCCAGTGGATCAACACCGTGGTATGTCGCCGACACGTACGAGCGGAGTCGGCAGGCGTGCTCACGACACGGTGTGTGGGATCTAGAGGCATGTCAAGGTGAGAGCACACCGTGGGCGCAAGGCGCCTTTGTGACACTATCTACACCGTTTGCGACGCGCATTGTCAACGCAGAGTCGACGGAGCTCTTCTTCAAGGACTACAGAGATTATATGGGTGCATGGGCGGGCCGGCCCAGGCGTGGAGGCTGCGTTGGCTTGGACGGAGACGTGACGTTTGGGCTGCTAGCTCACGCGGCCCGCCCAGCGCACGTCGCATATGTCACGCTGGGGCTGCAGTACGAGTATTATGTTTGGGAGGTGGCTGGCAATTTCTTCCCCGCGTACGCGGTAGCCGTCCACAGCACGTTTGCGAAGAGGGAGTATCATCGCCTAAGTCGGCAATGCAGGCGATCCGCACCATTCGGCAACGCCGGTCGCTGCGAGCCAGAGTTGGAAGGGAAGACCCGCACCCTGCGGTCAAGTCTGGAGTTGTTTCGCAGCCGCATGTCCCGGCAGTGCAACAATGACACTCTGGGCCCTGACTCTTTTGCAGGCGAGTTCACCAAATCAGACTGTGCAAAGGTGGCCGCTCTCTTTGGCGACAGGGACCGCTCCATCGGTCAAGAAGGCGCATCTCAAGGATGGACCAACGTCAGCAACTTCGTGCCGCCGAAACTACGATGCGCTCCAATCCGAACGCGCATCACGTCCGCCAGATCGAGCAAGTTTTGGCCACCACAGCTGCGAGCCACGTTGCAGAACGACACCGCGTGCTCTCGCACACAACGTACGGTGTCAAATGTGAGGTACTAGACTGTGGTCCTAAATTGTCCTAGTAAAATTCTTGTTCCTGGCGTGCGCTTTTGCCGTCAACGTTCCGCTCTGCTTTGTCCATCACGCGTGTATGAAGTCTCCGCATACGCACGGCGCCGGCGCGATCGCATTCGGCGTCCTCAGCTTCGGCTTGACCTTCCTCGGGGTGCCGTCGGCCGCTCCTGGCGCTGACTCCAACTCCACAATACCCACGAGCAAAGCTGGTTACTGGGGAGAGCCGACCGCGGTGCACCAGTTTTGCGAGCCGAAGTACGCGTCGAGCCACTATTTTGCCGAGTACTTCAACTCCCTCTCATCGCTGGTATACGCGGTTGTCGGTTGCTACATGCTGTGGCAGCGGGAGGTTCGGCTCGACCCGCTCATTGCAGCAGGCGCCGACGGCTCCCGAAAGCTTGCCACCATACCGTTGCCACATCCGCGCCGGAAGGCTCTAGTCTCGATGCCCTCGGATCGCCTCACGCGTGCCCGCGCTTCCCGACGCCTGCAGAGGCGATCGCCGTGGTCGTCATTGGGCTGGGCTCATGCGCCTTCCACGGGACGATGCTTTTCGAGCACGAGTTGTGCGATGAGGTGCCCATGCTCTTCTTCATCGGCGTGGCGATGGCCGCCAAGACGTGAGCCTGTCGAGATGCGCCGAGATCCGCTGAGATTCGCCGAGCACTACCGGGGTCGGAGTCCAGCTCGAGCGATGCGCCGCCCGAAATGAACCCGCGCAAGCGTGGTGTGGCTGAGCGGACAGTATCACAAAGCGCTTGTTGGTAGGTACGCACACCCGCTCCTCCGCTCTCGCCGTTCTGCCGCCGCCTTCTCAGTGGCAGTTGGGGCGGCCATCGGGGGGCTGACACTGGCATACGTGCTCTTCCAGACGTATGAGCTCTTCATCGGCGGCTTCACTGCCCTCGTCGTCGCCGACTCCGCCCTCGCCTTGACGTGGAGCTCCCGCCAGCGGGTCGTCTCGTGGTGCCGTGACCGCTCGATTGCGCTGCTCATCGCGGGCAAGGTGGCCCATTCTCTTGCCCCCCCCCCCCGCCCCCCTTCTCTCCTCCCTGACGCCCTCACGACCGCTGCCTATACACCGCGGCCCTTGCCTCTCACCCACATCTCCCCTCTCCGCCAAGATTGCGTGGGAGATCGAGGTGCGGATGTGCGCGAGCGACGGGCGCGTGTGGCCGCTGCACGTGGCGTGGCACCTGCTCACCGCCGCTGCGCTCTACTACGGTGTCCTCTCCGACACCGCCAACCGGATCGATTGCGGCCTCTCTCCGGCCGGCTCGCCCGCCACGCCTTGCCCCCTCTCGTGGATGGCCGTGCCGTTCGGAGAGGTGCGCGTGCTTGCCTCGGGCAAGGACGTGGAGCGGGAGGGCAGTGCCGCCGCGAAGGAGAGCCGGCGGCGGCCGGGCGGGCGCCCCGCCGCTCGCCCTCGCCCCTGCTGAGGGCGTGCTCGCACTAAGTGGAGAGGCGAAAGCAGGCGCGGCGATTTGTGTTCACTGTTATGGACAGTGCGCCACTGGCGCGAGCGGGGCCGGGGGGGGCGCGCGTGCGGTGAACCATCCTCTGGCACGCGGGGTCTCGCGTCTCACACAGACCCGACTGTCATAGAGCGTACTCGTGTGAAGTGTGTGACATGGGTCCCGCGTGCGTCGTAAAACCAGATATTGCTAAGGTGTATACACAAAAAGAGACAAGTCGACAATCACAAAAGCACTGAATGAGAGTTGTGACACATACCGCCCACAGAAGTTCGCAGTGTTGTGTCCACGGCTGTACATCGTAGTCGGCAGCAAGTCAGGGAGCAGGGGGGGTGGGGTGGGTGGGTGGGTGGGTGGGTGGGTGGGGGGGGGCTTTCACGACCGCGCGAGGCGCGGCCGTAGGCTCTCGACGATAGCAAACGTGACGGCGGTATGCGGGACGATGCGAGCTAGGTTGGCGCCGAGGCCCTTCCACAGGGCGGCGACCCCCTCCGAAGCGACCAGCTTGACGGCGCAATCGACGGGCGAAGAGTAGTGGGCGGTGGCCGGCATCGGCATGCAGAGGCCGGTGCAGCACCCGAGCGGCGCGAAGCCAGCCGGGCCGAAGCTCCTCGCGCCGGCGAGGGCCGGCTGCGGAGAGCTTTGCGCAAAGACTCGAGTTGAGATGACGTCCAGGGGGTTCATCAGCACGCACGAGATGGTGGCGGCGCAGAGGGAGGCGAGCAGCGAGTGGGAGATTGGGGGCAGGCCGGAGAGGGAGGTGGAGAAGCCGCGGTTCAGCCCCTCATAAGTGGAGAAGATGATGCCGGTGTGCCCCCCGTTGCGCAGCGCCCACGACGAGGCACCGGAAAAGGGGCGGTGCCTGATCGTATCGACCAGGGCACTGCTGCGACTGTCGGTCGGACCGCGCTGCGCCGCCGTGCGAGCCTTGGCGATGGGGCTCGCGATCGCGCCAGCGATGCACCCAGCCACAAACCCGCCAACGGGCTTGGGGAGCGCCTCCATGTGGCTTGACTGGGCCGCGGAGACGGTGAGCGCGGAATAGAGGGAGAAGCGGACCGAGTTGAGCACGGCGTTGTACACAACGGCCTCAGGCAGCGAGCGCCACAGCGCGACGGCGCCCTCCTTGCGGACCACGAGCTCCATCGCGTGCAGGGGGGACCGGATCGATGCGCCACCCCTTGAACACAGGCCGCCGCTGTCGCTCAGCTGCATGCGAGCGCGGACCTGCGAAAACAACATGCGGAGGGCTCAGGGCGAGTCAAGGTGGAGAGGGAGGACCTCGCACTGGTCTCCGGACCGTGTCAAAGGGGTTGGAGACGAGGGAGGCGGTCGAGGCGGCGGCGGCGCCGAGCAGCGCTTCCCTGCGGACCCTGTTGTCGCGGCGCGGGTACAGGTTGTCGGGCCCTCTCGTCCCCAGCGAGTACAGCGCCGACGAGCCGGCCATGTCGGCAGTCGCCAACGAGCGGCGATCGCCGAGAAGTATGATTCCATGAATTTTCCTCGGTGTCATCTGGCCGCTCCGCGTCGCTCGGCGTCAGACGGATGACGAGGTCTCTTGAATCCTCGGAGATGCTCTTCTCGATCCTGCCTGGCAATGGTCGGCATGTCGTTCACTTGAGCACTTGAGCACTGGATAGGGTCGATTCCGCATGGTACGGGACCCCTCGTTCGTCTCGCCCTCCCTCACTGGTGTGTTCATTGGGGGGGGGTCATAACAAACACGGTACAGGATCGAGGTGCACGCTGCCAAAAAGCAGTGTCGTCCCCCCTCTCCCCGACGGCGATCGATGGCGGTGTGACCGATCGAGCTACAAGAGGAGCTTGGTCAGCAGGATCCGGGATAGTCAGATGCACTACCTCACTGGGCCTGAGACCACCACACGACCCTCCCATCACCGTCTCGGATTTATGTGGAGTCGAACCACTCACTAACTAAGCTGCTTATGGGGCACCGCAGAGGCTCCCTTGGGGATGCCTGAGGCCACCCCAACCACTCACTATAAAGCCGTACGTAGACGAATTGGGCGCTACTTTTTTCGTTTACCTACACTAAGGTCTAAGCGAGTAGGTCATGCACACCCTCACCTCAGGGCGGAGCCGGCCGAGCGGAGCCGAGCGAGCCGAGCGGAGCCGAGTGGAGCCGAGTGGAGCCGAGTGGAGCCGAGTGGAGCCGAGTGGAGCCGAAGGAGCCGAGCGAGCGAGCCGAGGGGAGCCGAAGCGGAGCCGAGCGGGAGCCGAGTGGAGCCGAGCGGAGCGAGTGGAGCCGAACAGAGCTGCCACCGCACCATCTGGCGCTTAAGACTTTATAACGCGAGGGGATCTCCCTGCTCGCCTCTCCGACTTGGGCGATTTTCTTTTCTCCTCCGACTCCCGCGGCCTAGACATGCACATATGTATGCGCATGTATGCACATGTGCCTGTGCTAGTGCCATGTCGGGTCTCTATTTTTAAGACGCGGTGAACAGCAATAGATCCGGGTGTAGTGCCGGATCAGTTCACCTGGAGCCTCCAGGGCGCAGGGGGGCCGATTCGCGCTTGCCAAGGGACCAATTGCTGGCAAGCCTGCGCAGCCTGCGCTCCGGCCGGCAGAGAGGGCTTGCGACCCGTGGCAGGGTGACGAGAAAGAGGCAGCCCGCTCAGCCCCAGGCGCCCCTCGAACCGGAGGGTGGTCTGCCGCCGCTGCGCGGTCGGCGCGCCGAGGGCGGGAGACATCAGCTTCGCGCCACAGGCAGGTGACCTGGCTCCTGGGGGGCAATTCTCGGCAAGTTTGGCAGGGCGGGCATTGTGAAGGATCGATTGCTGTACAACGAGGAACCGATTCTGTGAGGGCCAGGTATCGATTAGGCCGTGTGAGGGCCGGATCTATTGCTGTTAACCGCGCCTTAAAATAGAGACCCGTAAATGCACTTGGGTGAATGGATATTTTTTCTATGTTTGGCCCTTTGGAATGTCCGCCGGCGGCAGCAAGTTCGAGCTCGATGACCGCTCCTACCTGCGCGAGAAGGTCATAGAGGTGTACGAGAAGCTGTGGCTGCGCGGCGCGCCGCTCGACGCGAGCGGCTGGGCGGAGCTCTTCTTCCTCAAGCCAAACGCGGCGTGGCTGCAGTCGTACCTGGGCTCGCTGACCGCGGCGCGGCTGCGCGCGAGCACGCCGACGGTGCGCGCGCTGTGGGCCGAGTGCGCCGCGCGGCTCGGCCACGAGCACGAGCCGAGCGTGCGCGGGCACGCCCTCGAGACGATGAGCGGCATCCTGCTCGGGCTCGGCGGCGTCCCGCTGCACTCGTTCGCCTCGGACGCGCCGGAGCTGCTCACGGGGCTCGACGAGGCGGAGGGCTGCTTCGACGAGCTCGCGCCGATGCTGCGCGAGCTCCTCGCCCCTCCCTCCGCCGCCGCCGCCGCGTCGCCGAGCGCGGCGCTCACGGCGATTGCGCTGCGGCGGAGCGCCCTGCGGCTGCTGATGGCCTTTGCGCTGGCGAGCGACGGCCTGTCGGCCAACATCCTGCTCGAGTTCCTGCTGCTGCGCCTCGCCTCCTCGTGGTCGCCCCCCGCGCCGGCCGGCGGGCTCAAGAAGAAGAATGGCAAGCAAGCGGGAGGCACACACACGCCCGCTCGTCTCGAGCTGTGCGCAGCGCCTCCTCACGGGCTCCTGCAGTGGACAGGCGCGACGTTCGCGTTTGCGGCGTCGCTCGAGCTGGGCGAGGCGGCGGAGCTCGAGGACGCGGCGAGGCTGCTCGCGCTCCTCTCGCAGTACCGGCGGCACGAGGCCATCCTCGGAGCGCGTCCTCCGCCCGCTGCGAGCAGGGAGCCCTCCCCGTGACCCTTCTCGGAGTCTTCCTGCAGGCCAAGAACGAGTGCCTCGCCCTGCTCTGCACGCCGGCCGCCGCCCGCCTCCTCGCCCCCGCCATCACACGTGCCTTCCGGCGGGCAATGTCATCCACGCCCTAGATGCCGGGCACCTCCCCCCACCTCCCCCCCTCTCCCCCCCTCTCCCCCCCTCTCCCCCCCTCTCCCCCCCTCTCCCCCCCTCTCCCCCCCACCCAACTGGATGCGTCCGCACACTCGAGCAGCTATCACCCGAGGATGCACGTGCTCGACTGCGCCGCGTGTGTGCACGGGCCAGGCTCTCTGCGCCCGCAAGCCTCGCCTCACTCCCCCGCCACCGAGCCACCAGGCGCGCTCCTCACTGTCTGCCCCACCCCGCGCCTCTGCGTCCTCACGCCTCCAGGTTCCCTGCGGAGACGGCGCACGGCGGCGGCGCCGCGGAGGAGGAGGAGGCGGGCGGCGAGGGGGGCGGGGGCGGGAGCGGCTTCTGGGCAAGCACGCTCTACCGCTCTCTCGACTGGACGGCGCGGCTGGGGCGGGAAGGGCTGCCCCGGCCTGTCCGCGACACGTCCGCGACGTGTCCGCGACACGCCCCCACAGGCGCGCCTCGCTGGCCTGGAGGACTACCTCCCCGACTCGGTCGCAGAGGCGCCGTCCTCCCCGGCCGAGCAGCCGCAGGGAGAAGAACAAGACGAGTGCTAGTGACGGAGATGAGAAAGTCAACAGGCCCTCGCCGGCCCGGCCGCCGTCGCGCGCCACCTGACTGCGATCGCGAGCGGGCTGCTCCTCGTGCACGAGTGGTGCACCTCGTTCGGAGGCGGGCCCCGTCGCCGCCCTCCCACCGCTTCCCACCGCCCTCAAACCACCGTCAAACCACCTTCAAACCACCTTCAAACCACCTTCAAACCGCCCTCAGAACCACCCTCAGACCGCCTTCAGACCGCCTTCAGACCACCTGCACCTGTAACCTGCACCTGTGGTGCCTGTACCTGTGGTGCCTGCAGTGCACCCCCCCGCGTGGTCAGGCCGCCGGACCACGCGAGCCGTGCGGCCAATCGGTGCACGCACACTCACGGCCCATCTCGAGGGGTCAGGCGCGCCGTTCGCCGAGCTCTGCGAGGCGAAGCCGCCGCCCGCGCCCGCGCCGCGCGCCGCCTTGCTGCGCGAGCTGCTCGGCATGCTCTTCTTGCTCTCGTGCCAGCCGGCGCAAGGCTTGCACGAGGCGACGCTTCTCCTCGGCCTGCTCTCTCTCGAGGCGGTGCTCGAGGCGGAGGCGACGCGCACTCTTCTCGCCACGGCCGACGTGTCGCCCTCCGCGGCGGCGCGCAGGGCGCAGGGCTGGCGCACCCGAGGCTAGCTCCCTCCCAGAGCCGTGTCGGAGCCTTGCTGCTAGGCGGGCGGGATGCCCATTTGGCGCGTGTACGGCGGGAGGACGTGCGAGGAGACGCTCCCCGGAGGCCAGCCTCTCCTTGCCGCCGCCGTCGAGCTCGGCTCCGAGATTGTGGGCGCGTGCGCGGCGGCCGCGGCGCCGTCGTTGCCTCTCGCCGCGCGCGCCGTCGGCTCGTTGCACCGGCCTCGCCCCCCCGACCACTCGCGTGCCACTTCCGAGACGCTTGCTCGAGCCTTGCCGCAGGCTTGCTGCACCGGCTGCTTGCCCACCGCGCGAGCAGCGGGGTCGGCCTGCCCGCCGTCGAGTGGGGCAGCCTGGTTGTGCGCGTCTTCGACCTCGCGCGCTGCCTCGCCACGCACCCGCACCTCGCTTCCTCGCCGTCGGGCGCCGAGCTCGCAGCGAGGCTGCTCGGCTTGCTGCACCACCTCCTCCTCTGCAGCGAGCCGCTCCCGCCCGCCGTCAGCGACGCCGTCGCAGCCGAGCTCCCGCCCTTTTGCGCCGCGGGCGGTGTGTGCGGTCGCCTCGTCGCCATCGCCCGCGCCGGCGCGCCCGCGCTGCTCTCCTCGCTGCAGCTTGCGGAGCCGTTCTGCGTGGCCGCGCCAGCCGCGCGCGTCGACCCCGACGACGCGCCCGCCGCCGATTTGCTCGTCGCAAAGTGGCGCCGCGCCGCGCCCCAGGCGGCACGCGTGGCGGCGGCGCGGGCGCCTCCGTCGCCTTCGGCGCGCGAGCGGGACGCGGCCGTCCAGGCGCCCCCCCCCCCCCTCCCCCACCCACCCACCCAAACGGCCAACCGCAACTGTCATGCCCAGCCCTGTGCCTCGCTCTCGATCTCCACCATCACTTTCATCCTCACCCTTCACCCTCACCCTAGGCGCTCCTCCGGCTCCTCATCGCTCGCTCGCGCGCGGACGGCTCCGCCACGCCCATGCACATCGAGGAGCTGCTGTCGCCGCGAAAGCCCGCCGCAGCCTAGCCCGGGTGCTGGCGGGCGCGGCGCTCTCCGGCTCTCCATCTCACTCCGTTCGGAACTTTTGGCGGCAAACATGTGCCGCAGTCGCGTGAGAATGCCGGAGGGCAGCGGGCGCCGGTATGGGTGAGAGCGCTAGGTTGTCCCTAGCCTCGGGTCGGGCGTGGCTGGTCTCGTGTGCCGCATGCAGCAGTGGATCGCACTCCCCTACATGCCCCAAGTGTTGTGTGGGGACGTGTGTGCCAGGCCCTGTGTGCGCGTGTGTGTCTGTGTTGCGACAGTCTAAAACCCGGGTATACCCGAGAAATACCTGGGCCCGCGTCAATGCCGCGCGCGCCCTACTCCCAGGGCCCCTGCGCCAACTGCGGCGCGCACCGCCTGCGCTCAAGTACGTGCGCACCGCACCATGTGCGCTCGCTACAAGTGCTAAAGGCAGCATCGGCGCTGCGCCAGGCACGGCTTGCAGGTGGCGGTGCGGACGATGCGGTCGTGCCGACATCAAGCGCCACCCTGGCCCGGGGGCTCCACAGGCGAGTCGACCCGCTGGCGGAGCGGCAGGGCGCCCTACACAGGGCGTTGTACGCCCTAGTGTACGCCTCGAGGCAGGGCTTGCCAGAAGTACTCGCCTTCTTCTGGCATCCACACCATATCGCACACCACCCACGAGAGTGCACCGGCAGTTTGCATTGCTTGCTGTGTGCCGCTGCATTCTGGTGCTCGAAGACCAGCTTGCATGCAGCACAAGCAAACGGCCCATCGTTGCCGTTCATCGCGCTGCGGCCAGTCTCAGCACCGCCCAGCGAGCGCGTGGGCGTGTGCCGTGTGGCTGGCGTGACAACTCTGGACTCTGGTAGCGCTCCTTCAAAGAATTCGCGCCGAGAAAAATTCTTTTTCGAGGTCAACCCGTCATGCGGCAGGTGGCTTGCCTTGGCTCGCTGCCACCGCGGTGGGTCACCAAGAGCTTCTCCGCGTGCGGCGTCATCACCACGCGACACGCTCGCCACGCCTCACCCGGGCAAAAGGAACGACCGCGCGCCGCCGCCGCCCGCCTCGCCTTGCCTTGCCCCTGCCCCTGCGCCTGCGCCTGCGCCTCGCCTTGCAGCCGCGCACGCGCACACGCACGCGCTCACGCCGCTCGCGTTCGCTACCGCGAAGCAACCCTCCACCCGAGTTTCGAGCCGGAAGCCAAAAGGTCCCGACTCGAACCGCGAACCGGCTCGACCACCGCCGCTGGCGGTTCTGCAAAGGCACTCAAGGGCAGTGCCTCATATAACGTGAAATAGTGCGAGCGCGCGAGATACTCACCCGACCCACCGTGCCCTCGCGAAGAAGATCTCGCGCCGCGCGCGCTCGCACACGCCGCCCGAGAGCACTCCCACCCCCCCGCCGCCCTCGCAAGCTCACAGGTTGATTTGAGGAGAAGCAGCTGGGGGAGGTCAAAGCGGGAGAAGGCGGCACGGCGGCGGCGGCGCGGCCCCCCCCCATCCCCACGCCTCCGGGTCGTGCGTACCGCCTCCGGGCGTGAGTGTCCCCCCAGCGTCTGCTCCAGCAGTCGCTCCGGTAATCAGGCCGAGAGTACCAGGGAGGAGGGGAGAAGAGCCCAGGGTGGGGAGAGGAGAAGAGCCTAGGGAGGGGGGAGGAGAAGAGCCCAAGGCGGCCTCCCTCTCCCTCCCCTCCCACCGGGCCTCCCTCTCCCTCTCCTCCCACCGGGCCTCCCTCTCCCCCTCCTCCCGCCAAGCACCGACAGTCTCGAGGGGCCAGCCGCTGGGGGAACCACCTCCTGAGAAGGGGGGGTGGACGTACGCCAGCGGCACGAGGGCTTCAGCCACACAACTACCATGGGAACGCGACCCACACAAAGCACCAAAGTTAGGCATATCCCCCGGCGCAGTGTCCCCCGCTATGTGTCGCCGTTCGTCGGGGCACGCTATCCTGTGCAGTCAGGGCAAGTGGGGGCGGGGCGGACAGCCCAGCAGCGTGCTCCTGGGATCTCTCCGCCCAGTCCGGGGGTGCGTCGAACCTTCCATCACCCTGTCGGAAGCGGCGTGCCGGTGGAGGCACGTCCGGGTTTTGGAAGTAAAGATATTTTACTTTCAAAGAATTCGCGCCAGCCACTCGCCCGCATCTAACGGAGCGTGCCAACACCTCCCGAGTGGCGGTGTTAACACGTTTGAACACCTCTACGGCTGTGGTGTTAACCGTTGTGGCGAGTGCCGAGTGCGATTGTGTGTTTGGATTTCCATATCCTCTAGCCCGTCGCGCCTGCGGCGATCGATCGTCGCCGGGCCTCCTGCACCGCCTTCTGGTTGTAGACACCGCTGCGCAAAATGAAGCTCAGAACGGCGGGGGGCATCAGTCCGTCCACCAGGTCCAGGTTGACCTCATTGCTACCAATCGCTTCTCTTATGTGTAGAGAGTTGCCCATGCGCTTCCGGAGCTGCGTGGATGAAATGTCGGTCGTCACAAATTTCATCCCTCCCGCCATGGTGAGCATGTTGAAGCGCGGACCGAACGCAGACAGGTCCTCAATGTCGTATCCCGGACGGTGGAGCACGAGAAAGTCAAACTCGGTCACCAGTTTGTCGCCCGTGACGATGCGACCCTTGCCAGTCGGGTCGGCGGGGTCTCTAGATTCCCACGTTCTCAAATCGGTCCCAGGTTGAAGCCAGTCTGACCCTACGACAAACAGAAAGTCGACGTCGGCGTGCTTTCGACGCAGCCTGCAGAGAGTATCATAGGTTGCCAATGACTCTTCCTCATACGTTTCGATGTCGCACACCCGAACAGGGAATGTCGGAGTGTACACGGTGTTGACACCGAGTTGGCACATTAGCATACGGTCAATCGCACTGCCAATCATGCGAGGCTTGTCCGGCCGAGGACCGCATGGCGTGATCCAAACCTCATCGGCAAGGCCGCTGTGGATGATCTCGGAGCAGCAGGAGAAGTGGCCATTTGTGGGCGGGTCGAACGCACCACCGTAAATGGCAACGCGCCGCCTCATCATACGGTGCGTGGGAAGGTCGAGGAGGCGGGTGGGCGGCGGCGCGGCTGGAGAGGGATCTGGGACGGCCGTGGGAAGTGGAGTCCGTTTCCCCACACCGCCCGCCACACCCGCATTACCCCCCCACCCCCGGCGCCGATTACGACTTACTTCCTCTGAGCATCGTGATGCGGTGCACGCACGCCAAATATCCCAGGCGTGTCATGATCCATGGCACCGGGCAGGCGCCAGCCATCAGTCCACAGGCACTTCGGTCTTCGCGTTTTAGGTTTGCAGTTGGCAAAGCAAGACACAGAGCTCGTGGTGCCACTGGACAACCTCAGAACCGGCCGACGTCTCCTTCTCGCACCCCTAACCAGCCCCCCCCGCTGCAGGCAATAGCCCGCAACCACCGTGCGCACTACGTTGCGTCGACCTCTTCCTTCTTGACGCAGCCGCACTGCTCAGGCGTGAGGCACGGCAGCCCGCACGGACCCTTCTTGGTCAGGCACCACTTGGGGATGCAAGTCTTCACCGGCGCAGGATAGGACGAGTACCTGACGCGAGACGCAATCCTCGTTCCGCGCTCCCCAGCGGGACCACTCGCGTCTAGTTCTCTGATGATGCTAGTGGTGTGCGCGAGAGTGTGAGCAACAAGTGTGTAAGACAGTCGTGTAGTTGCGGCCGAAGTACTGATTAGTGTAGTTCCAGAACCAGAATATTTAATTCGTTTGTGAGAGGGAGAGAGAGGACTTCATCGGTTTAGAGAGCGCTGTTGGCAGCCTGTGGGGGCCACAAAGATTTTTTTGTGCAACCAATTCCGGGTGCAACCTGTCCTATACGAGAGGTTTCTCGCTGGGACACACCATATGTCTGGTGGGCGAATCCTGCCCAGCCCCCCTCCGTGTCGCGGTGCGCTCCCCACTCCCGTTCCCTTTTGCCCCTCTGATCGTCCTTTACACAAGATCCTTGCTCACTGGTTGGGTAGTAGGCTCTAAGTTCTCTGAGCCTCGAGGCTTAACAGGTCTAAGTGTGACTGGTCACGCTGGGGTGCTTACGCGGTCTAAGATCGGCTCGAGCCTCTTATGCGGGCTAAGTCGGCCGTGATCATTAGGGTTGCCTCAAATTTTCTTCGCCCCTGCGGCCGTGCGGCGGGCAGCCGTTGTGTACAAGTGGCGCGTGCGTGTCGCCACTTGCGCACGGAGGCTGAGAGGAGGGCGTGCGCGGCAAGTGGCGACGGCGCTACCTATTTGACCCATGGGGTCGTGCAAAATTTATCCAGGGTTTACACTTTTTATTTAGCTGACCGCGGGCCGGACCGGGGCGGCGGCCTGGCTGGGCTCCGTGGCTGTGCGGGGGCTGCAGAGACCCGGAACTGGCCGCCTCGTGTCGTCTAAGTTCGTGAGTCCGATCACCAGCGTCTAAGTTTGAGCCCGTCTCCTTCCGGGGGCTTAGTTCAGCGCTCGCCTGCGAGCAGGTGTGACAGCAGGTCTAAATTTTGGGCAACCCTCTACCCCTACTACCCAACCATTCCTTGCTCTGCAAGGTGGGGAATCTGTGGCCTTCTTCCACCTCGTCTGCCTAGTCTTTTCTTCTTCTTGAGGTGCACATGTTAACATGCACATGTGCATGTTGTGTTAGTGCGCGCCAGTCACGTGCCCAGTGTCGCGGTGGATAAAATTCTTCTTTGCCGGGGGGGGCGTCGGGGGTGCCGGGGTGTGTCGCTGTCGGAACGGTCGGTGAGGGGCCGGGGCGACTGCCCCCCCCCCCCCCCCTCGCCCACCTCGACGCCTTCGAGTGCTGTCGAGTGCTGTGCGCACGCGCTGAGTTCTTCTCCCGTGGTGTACCTGTGTTAGTGCCAGTGCGCGCTAGTCCCCTGCCTAAAAGAAAGAAAGAAAGCGGACATCCCAAGCTAGCGTGCGGGCTGGGTCGAGGACAGGAATGGGCATGCTTGTAGACTGTATTTTCTTCTTTCCTTGTCGTGCCAGTGTGTGCTTGAAACAGGCAAGCCGGCAAGCTTTCCCCTTTGAATTCTTCTTTCGGACAACGCTTCAACGCACAACGGGTACGGGACTGGCAGTCAGTACATACATTTGTAGTGCCGGACCGTCCTGAGCGACTAGTAAAATTCTTTCTCACGAGGCGCGCTATCGTACCTGTGTTGTTAGTGCCAGTGCGCGCCAGTCCCGTGCCCAGTGTCGTGCAGTTCTTGTCAAGAATTCTTTTTTTTTCAAGAGGTGGTACTAGCACGCGCCAGTTCGCACCTGTGTCGAGCCTGTGTGCTGTGAGAGAGAGTTGTTTTGGAGCACTTGGAGTTTTGTTTAAGTCCTGTGTAATAAATAAATAAATACAACGGACACGCCAAACGAGGGGTGGGAGAAGGACAGGGTCCCCACCTGCACAAGCAGGATCTTGTAGGACGATCAAGTCCTGTGTCTGTGAGCGAGAATTGCAGGTTTAAATTCTTTTTCGAGGCCTCGGAGCTTGGCATGCTTGACCAGGCAAAGCGTGCCTTCCTCGCTCTCTCCAGCTCGGAGCGCGTTGCATTTGCGCAGTTCGTCGCCGCCGCGCCGCCGCCCGAGCAGCAGCAGGAGGAGGGTGAGGCGGGCCAGGATGAGGCCAGGATGAGACCCGAGGACGAAAAGAAGCGCCTCAGCCGCAAGGTCCAGAAGCGGCGGGAGCGGCGGCACGCAAAAGCCGTCAAAGAGGGCCGCGTGCCCGGCCAGGTTGGCAACCCAAACTTCATCAAGAGCGGCGAGCGTCTGGCACAGCCGGAGGGAGGCGCGGGAGCCTCCGAGACTTTTGACGGGGAGGAGCAGGAGGGCACAGACGAGGAGGGCGCAGAGGAGGAGGCCCGGCGGAAGAAAGCCAAAGCAAAGGTCGATGTCGAGCGGCGCAGGGAGCAGCGGCACGCCGCGGCCGTGGCGGCAGGCCGCGTCCCCGGCCAGGCTGGCCGCCCCAAGCGGGCGCAGCATGAGGCGGGAGCGTGGGCGCTCCTCCACCTCCTAACCGCCCAGCAGCCTGCAGACGCCCCTGGAGCTCGAGGAGGCGAGGACGAGGTTGGCAGGGAGAAGCCCGTCAGCCGCAAGAGCCAGAAGCAGCGGGAGCGGCGGCACGCAAACGCCGCCAAAGAGGGCCGCGTCCCCGGCCAGGCTGGCCGCCCAAATTGTATCAGAAGAGGATCCTCCTACGCCACTCCACCCTCTCTCGCGCTCTGATCATGCTTGTGCTCTTTGTGTTTGGGGGGGAAAGATCTTATGTGCGGCGTTGAGAGAGTCATGTGTCTCATGAAACTTGGACGTTTTTTTTGTACGTCACACGTCCTGACACCTGAGGCTGAGCGGTGAGCGGTGACCGGTGTCCCGGTGAGCGCTCGGATACACACGGAGCCGCAGTCGGATACACACGGGGCGTAAAGCCGTACATCCCTACGGTAGCCCTACGTGGCCTCCAGTTGGAGTTGCCAGTAAAGCCGTAGGCGTAGCGCGTAGGCCTCAGGGGTATAGGGCGTTACTATAGGGGATATCACATATCATCTCTCTAGTCTCGATATGTATATACACACGTCGGTGGAGAAAGCGCTGCGAGAAACGGCGAAGGAGAGACACGAGTACGGCTTTAAGTCCCCCCGTACGCGTGCGTCACACGCTCATTTAAGCTCAAAGCTCGCCAAAGACCTCTCAGTCAATGGGCCTCGGCGTGCAGCGTGATAGACCGCAGACCGTGCGTTTGTGACGCATCGACGGCCCTGGGCCGCTATACACAATCCGCGACGACGGGGCGGGACCAAATCGCGCGCGCATGACATGGAAGGAGGGCGAACGATGGTAGCTAGGAACACCCCCTCGAAATCGAGCCTCGCGCGGTGCGTGTCTGCGCCGGCTGCCGGCTCAGAAGAGGCCGCACGCCTTCTTGAGGTTCTGCTGCTTCCAGCCCTTGAGCACCTGCGGGGGGAGGGGGCAAGGGGGGGGGGCTCTGTGCCGCCTCCGGCAGGGCTGTGGGATTGCCCGCGAGAGGGGGGAGGGGGCGAGCGACACAGAGAGGCAGAGGGAGCCCCGCGATCTCGCGCCTTGAAGTCGGCGCGCGAGCACTTGAAGGCCGCCTCGAAGTCGGCGTCGGAGAGGTAGTCCTCCTTGCGCGACGGGTCGACGTAGTCCGGCGGGCTGCTCTTGAGCGTCTCGAGGTCGACGTACCCTCCATCCGCTGGCGTCGGCTGCTTCTCCGGCGGCGGCGGCGGCGGCGGCGGCGGCGGCGGCTCCGGCTCGTCGTCCTCAAACGGGTCGCCGTCCGGCGCCCCCGACGAGGCCTTGGAGGCGCGCTCGGCCTCGGCCTTCGCGACGGCGTCCGCCTTTGCGGCGGCGGAGGCTGCGCGCGCCTCCTCCTCCGCCGCCTGCGCCGCCTCCTGCTCCGCCATCGCCTTGGCCAGCTTCGCCTCGTAGGGGTCGAGAAAGACCTTCGCCTGAGTGGCGTGCCGTGGGCGGCGTCAGAGACGCGCCTGTCGCCACGTCGAGATTGCGCCGAGGTTGAGCTGTGCACCCGGGACGCGTCCCAGCCGAGGAAGTGCGAGGTGAAGATGGGCGGCTCGGAGCCCGACTTGACCGTGAGCACGGCCGTGTCGGCCGAGTACCCCTCCAACGCCACGTACGACGCGGCCGTCTCCGCCGCCATGCCCTTCTCGAGTTCGTTCGCCTCGGACCCGACCCACACGAAGACGGCGTTGCCGACGTCGAGGAGGTACACGTCCCCCTCCTCGAGGTCGGACTGCGAGAAATGCGCGAGCGGCTCCACCTGGAGGGAGATGCGCCTTGGGGTCGCCTCGGGGCAGTCTCGAGCGATCTCGGCGAGTCTCGCGCGTCTCCCGCCTTGAAGGCGCCCGTCGCGTTCGAGCAGAGGAAGAGCCGTGCGGGCCGGTCCGGCTCGGGAAGGACGGAGCTCGAAGGGTACTCGCCTGGGGACGCGTCAGGGACGCGTCACGGACGCGTCTCGGCCGAGGCCTCGAGCGGCGAGAGGGTGCTCGCCCTTCCCGCCGAGCGCCTCCCAGAATGCGTCCGGCTCCCCCCCCTCGGCAACCTCCTGTAGCTTGCGGCCCTGCTTGAGGACGCCGCAGACCGCCTGCGCCGTCGCCTTCTCCGTCTCGTTGGCGCCGTTGCCGGCCCACAGGAAGGCCGCCGCCGGCGTGAGCAGCACGAAGCAGTCGCCAGAGTTGAGGCTGGTGGCCACCTCGGCAACCTGCGCCGCCTTCGTGCTGTCCGCGCCGCCGAAGCCCTTGACGTGGTAGAGCGCCACGCCATCCTCGTCGTACGAGTCCTCGTCGCCCTTGTTCTTGAAGCCCGAGGCGCGCCCGCCGCTGTGCACCACCAGCTTGCCGCCAAACAGCCGCACCAAGTGGGGCGGCTCCTTGCCCATCGTCACGCGCACCTGCGTCGCCTGCCCGCCAAGGTTGTCGTCCATCTGCTTGGCGTGCAGCGCGGCCGCGCCCTGCTCGTCGGTCGTCGAGTCCTTCCCGAGCCAAAAGTAGAGGAGCGTCGCCTCGCGTCCGCTCGAGAGGTACGTGTACTTGACGATGTACGAGTCGCCGGCGAAGAACTGCCCGTAGGTCGCCCGGTCGACTGGTACGGGCTCGAAGTCCTATACAGCAAGGCTCCGAGAAGCCTCAGGGGGGCTCCCTGCCCCGGGCGGCGAGGGCGCGCGGCGGGAGAGTCCTCGATGCGGAACATCTCCGTCTTGCCGGAGCCGTCGTCGGCCACGTCCTCGCTCTCCCCGAAGGAGCAGTCCGACATGCCCTTTGCGAGGTCGGCGGCGGAGGCCTGCGCGGTCGCCTGCGCGACGTTGCCGCTGCGGCCGACCATCGAGAAGTCGGCCGGCGTGGCGGGGGGCTTCCACGACTTGAAGAGCGACTTGAAGAGCGCGGGCTCCGCCCCCTCGCTCACCTTTGTGACGCGCACGCCCTTGGGCCGGCCTGCGGTGTACTTGACTCCCGTCTCCATGCCGCCCTTCTTCTCGTCCGCCGTCGCCTCCTTGCCAACCCACACAAAGACCTCCGCCTGGGCGGTGAGGGGGAGGGGGAGAGGGGGAGGGTGAGAGGGTGAGGGTGAGGGGGGGTGAGGGGCGGGGGGGCTCGAGTGTGGGGGGAGGAGGTGCGGGGAGAGAAGCGGCCGCCTCGTTGTCCACGATGAAGACGTCCTTCGAGTCGAGCATCGACCGCTCGAGCGTGTCGCCGCACGCAACCTCGGTCGTGCTGAGCGAGCCGGAGGCGTCCGACACCCGCACCTAGAGCAAACCCGTACACCCGTACACTCGCACACTCCCGGGTGCTCCGGACGCGTCGATCTCGCGCGATCTCGTGCACCAGCTTGAGCGCTCCCTTGGAGCTTCCGGTCGGCGAGTCGTCCGGTGTCGCCGCCGCCACCGGCCCCTGCCCGCCGAGCGCCTCCCAAAAGGCGGCCTCCTCGGCGCCTGACACAAGCAGCGACCGGCCGCCCTCACCAGGGAGTGCTGCCGAGCGCCTCGTCGGGCGGCGCACGCGCCTTGGTCGCACGCCGTCAGCTTGGCGCGGCCGCCGCGCTCGTCGTCCTTGATGGCGAGGGCGACCTGCGAGGCGGCGGGGAGAGGGGGAGGCGGTGAGAGAGGGAGGCAGAGGCAGCGTGCCAAGCGTTGAGGGGCGGGGGGGCGGGGGGCGCGCCTCGAGACCCTTGGCTTTCTCCTTGTGCGATGCTCCGGAGCCGTTCCACAGGTAGATGGACAGTCCGGCGTCGAGGACGAAGACGTCGCCTGCGCTCGAGGAGGGAGCGAGTGGTGACCGGCTCCACACCTCGACGCACTCTCGGGGCACCGCTCTCCATCTCCAAGGAGGCGCCTGCGTTGAGGGTCGTGTGGTCGATGGCGACCGGCTTGATGCGCACGGTACGCGAGCCTACGCGCAAGAGCAAAGAGAGAGCGTCACGGCGCTGCGCCACAGGCATCGCCTGCGAGGGCGACCGTCGTGCCCTTGACGTGCAGCAAGCGCGTCTCGTACACGTCCCGCTCCACCTGCGTCGCCGCGAGGCGTTAGGAGGCGGCAGTGGCGGCTAGGGGAGGGAGCGGCGGCGGCGGCGGCGCTGGCGGTGGCCAGTGGCGCCCAGGGTGGCGGCGTTGGCGGTGGACGAGGCGGTGCGGCGGCGGTGAGAGAGGCTGCCTTTCGGAAGCCGGACTTGACTCCGCCCTTCTCGTACGAGATCTTCTTGAAGCATCCGAGGAACGAGTCCGACTCGCAGTCCTGCACCTCTCGGTGCTGCGGCCGGGCAGAGAGAGGAGGGGCGTGAGGCTGGAGGAGGGAGAGAGGGAGAGGCGGGCGAGGGTGAGGGCGGTGGCCCGTAAGAGGGCGACAGCGGCGGCGAGAGTTGAGGCGGCAGCGGTGCGATCGCCGGTGTGGGCAACAAGGGAGCGGCTTGAGGCCGAAGCATTATGGGCCGAGGCGGACCTGCACAGGCGCGCCGCCAAGAAGGTCATCGAGCTCGACGGCCTTGTAGGCGGCGGCGCCCTGCTCGTCCTGGCTCGACTCGCTGCCGAGCCAGAAGAAGAGGTCGTACACGTATTTGCCGCCCGTGGTCTCGGTCGTCTTGAGCACAAGGTACGAATCGCCATCATAGAACGTTCCGAAATCCTTGGCGGGCAGCGGCACGGCAGCCAGACTCTCGATACGCCAGATCTCGAGTCCAGGCTTAGAGCCAGGGTTTGCAAAGTCAGACGACATTTTTCGGAGGTGCCGAAGTCGGCCGCCTTCGGGTCCTGATGCTCTCAAAGACGCGGCGGCGCGGTGCGCGTTTTCTTCTGACCGCTTTCTGGCTCTGAAGCCGCCGCGCGCCGGCCGCCGCGCGCCGGGTCCTTCTTTTTGTGAGAGCTGAAGAGATGTCAATAGACAATATACGCGAGCAAATCGCCGCAACCAAGACGGCTGGCGACTCCTCGCCAGTGAGTATATCCCTCAAGCCTCATCAGCGCGTGTCGTCGGGGCGGAGCCACTCACCGCGCCCCTTCCCCTCGGCGCGCATCGCCTCGACCGCCCCCGCCCCCGCCGCGACTACCCGGCGGAGCGTCTCGACGCAAGCGTCCCCCGCCGGGTAGCCGTGCCGGCGTAGCGTCTCGTCGGGCGCCTCCCTCCCCCCGCACCCGCCGCCCGCAGCAGCGCCGCCGCCGCCGCCGTTCGCGCTCTCCCCCGCCGCGAGGGCCTCTCGGACGGCCGTCGAGCTGAGGTCCTGCGCAGAGGGGTGCAGAGGAGTGCAGAGGAGTGTGGCGCGCAGAGGAGTGTGGCAGAGGAGGGTCGGTGCAGCCGCGGCGACTCGGAAGAGAGATGGGGCAGCAAGGAGATGGCAGAGCGGCCGCCCCCGTGGGCTGCGGGAGGGAGGAGGGACGGGGAGGAGGGAGGAGGGACGGGGAGGAGGGAGGAGGAGGGAGGAGGGCGGCGGGGATGCCGCGCCTCGTCGCCCCCCTCGAGCGCGGGCAGCAAGAAGAGTGTGCCCTCGCCTGACGGCACGTGCCGCGGGGGCGTGTCGTGGACGTGCCGTCGGCGGGCGGCGGGAGGAGGAGGGCAGGGCCAGGGGGAGGAGGAGGGCAGCCCTCGCCTGTGGCGGCGCGGCGGACAAAGCTGCCGCTCGAGCCACCGAGCAGCTCGCGCCTGCCGCTGAGCACGGGTAGCGGGGCGCGCACCTCGAGGTCGGGCGCAGGGAAGGTTCGGGGATGGCTCAGAGAGGGGATGGTTCAAAGAGGGCTCATGGAGGCGGCGCGCGCGACCTCGAGCCGGCGCAGCGCGCTGAGGAGCGCGGAGGGCGCCTCGCCCACCTGGTCCGAGGCGCGGCGAGGACATGTCTGGGAAGCTTCCCGGGGGGAAGGGCTTCTCTGCGTCTCTCGCCCGCGCGCGCGCCTGCACCGAGCCCGTTCCGCGCCCGAGCAGCACCAGGTCGGTCTGCTGCAGCAGCTTCTCCGGCGCGTTCCACGAGGCCATGCCTGTCGGATGTGATGCAAGACCAAACAACTCAATACAAAATGGGAGTCGGCCTGCCGTGCGAGGGCGACGAGACACGGCGAGGGCGAAGGCGAGGTGGCGGTGGCGGTTTGGGTGGCGGCGAGGGCGGACGT